CATCGAGGGCCTGCTGGGTGCCAACCTTTGGCACATGTGTGTTTCTTCCCTGTTGCTTCTAATATTCTTTCAAATAAGCACCTGAACTTCCAGCTAATTCTCGCCCTTCATCCCCCCAGCACGGAAGTGACCTCTTCCAAGCCTGCTTCTCTCGGAATTCTGGGCCCGAGTGCAGACTCTTCCCAAGGCTAACATGCAGACACCCGTGCTTTGGAGGGGGTTGCTGTGGTTACTGTTATTATTGTTATTATTACCATTCAGACTGTTTTCAGACTCACGGTGCTCGGCGAGTCTTCCCAGAGGCAGACACCGAAAGGAAATGAATGTTCAGGGATTTGATTCAACGCCAATGAGAGGAAGGGCGTGGGAGAGGTGGGAGACCTGGCAGGCCAGGATGCAGGTGGGACCCCAACTGAAGGAGACGAGCAGGAAGGTCGTGAGGGGGGACCCCAGGCTGCTGGGTGGCAGGCGGGCTCCACATTTCATTTTTTAAGCTGGGTCCAGACGCTTTCCGGGATGGCCCCACCGTGCTACCCCCACCAGCAGCACCCCGCATCCTCAGGCGTGTTTAGAAGGACCCGCTCCTGCGGCCCCAGGACTCCCGGAAGCAGGAGCCACACCACAGCCCTCACCTGTCTCTGTCGCTCCCTTTCAGACCATCCTGGTGGGCGACAGCGGCGTGGGGAAGACGTCTCTGCTGGTGCAGTTCGACCAGGGCAAGTTCATCCCGGGCTCCTTCTCGGCCACCGTGGGCATCGGCTTCACAGTAAGCACCGGCCGGCACCGCGGCGCTGGGCTGGGCTCCGGGCCCTGGTGCGGCTCTGCCGGGGCCCCAGCAGGAACAGGTGGACGGTCCTGTGGGGTCATTCGGGGAGACCTCTCAGGAGTGGGTGGGGGGTTAGGATAGTGGGAGGAATGGAGCAGGTCCCTGGGTAGTTCCAGGGCCTCCATCCCACCCCAGGCTGAAAAGGTGAGAGGAGGGACAGGCCCCAGAGCCAGGGGCAAAGCAGGCTGTGCGGAGGGGGCTGCTGCCAGGGGCTGGACCTCGGGTGGAGGAAGGAGCCACCTAGGCTGGCCCTCCTGGGAGGAGCCAAGGCAGTTAGCTGGACCCCTCTCCAGTGCTCTCCTCCTGCTCCCCCATCTCCTTCTGGGGCGCCCATTGGCTGAACAAACTAGAAGCTAGAGAGCAAGGAAATATCTTGACTCAGAAGTCTTACCCCCACCTCCCAGGGCGAGAAGAAACCAGAAAGGCAAAGGGACAGCTGCAAAGTCTATGCACAGTCCCAACTCAGTGTGTCACCCAGACTTTGGGCGCTGGTAGGGCAAGAGTTCAGGTTCAGTTTCTAGCCCCCCGGCTGCCCCTGGACACAGCCCAGAGGGGCTGCGCAGATTAAGGAGAGGTTCTCAGGCTTTCTCTACTCAATGGCCCTCGACTCACCGGGCAGAAAAGTCCTCCCTCCTCCCCAGCTTCATGTAGCAACTTGTTCGTCAGGCCCAAGGGGCGTGCTCTGGGACCTGGGACTCCGGAAGAGCCTTGGAGAGGGGGCACTTCCCCCCAACTGTGGCAGGCAGCAGGCACTGGGCTCCCTCCAGCCCCACTGCAGCCTCCTAGCATCCAGGACAGGGAAGAGCAGATGGCGCTCCTTAGGCTGTGGGGGTGTTTCACAGACCAGCTCTGGGATGGAGCAGGACACAGGGCCTGAGAGGCCACACCCAGGGCCGGACACCATGCCAGGTGGCTGGGAAGAGAGAGGGGAACCCCAGAAACTGGGCTTGCCATGGGGTCACATTCACAGTGAGGAAGTCAGGGCCCAAGATGGACAGAGCTTCAGAGGAGCAGACGAGCACCTGCGAGGGAACACCCAGACCCAGGGTCCAAGCCAGAGGGCCAGTCCCGGGGCTGCCCAGAGCAGGGAGTAGCTGGGCTTGGTGCTGCAGGGCGGGGCTGGGCAGAGGCCTAGTAACCAAGCCCCCATCAAGCCGGCTGCCAAGGCCTGCAGATGGATTTATAGGGGTACTGACCTCAACGGGGTCACCCAGCCACCCCACTCCTACCCCAGTTCAGCTCTTCCTAGCTACATCTTGCCTCTATGTCCCCTGAATCCTCCAGTCTTGCCTAAATACCTCTGCTAAGTTCACCCTCCAGAAGCCTCGCCCTGTTCATACCTTCAGTGGCTCATGGTCTCCCCAAGTCTAAGCCCCTGGTCGGCAGGCCATCGCAACTGAAACCAGTCAGGGCAAGTGCTCCTTTTGGGCCCATGAAAACCTCCTGGGGGAGGTCAGCCCAAAATGCAGATTCTGTGGGACCCGGAATCTACATTGAACAGGCACCCACAGCTTCTGACGCAGAGAAACCTGAGTTTAGGGCCTTGCCCCTCCAGCCTCCACCCTGGCCACCCCTCCATATCCTGACCCCACACCCCTTGGGAACTGTGCTGTTCCCCTCACTCTGGGGTTTTCTTCCAGCCTCCTGGAAGGCCCCCCTGCTTGCTAGAGGTCAGGCGGCCCCTTCCTGGTCTCTCAACAGCCCTAGGAAGGGTGTCGAATTTGGGGGGTGACTTGTGGTGCAGGGCAGGGGTGTCCGAGTAGGTGGGCTGTGTGTGCATTCTGGATTTGGGGGTGATGAGAGGTACTAGGGTGATTTAGGAGGTGCTTTATTCTAAGGGGGGCATGCACATTCGGGGGTTTTGTGAGGTGTGTGTTTGAGATGTGTTCGTGTTGATGGGGTGTGAGCTGCGTCTGTAACTGCAATGTGGTCAGAAGGGTCTGGGGTGAAGTGTCCGAAGTGGGTGTGGTCACGGAAGGCATTGTGTCTGTGGTGTGTGTGGTTATGGTGTGCCATAGGGCACATAGGGCACATGGCATAACACAAGGTAGTGTGTGTGGCGTGATCTGAGGTACATAAAGCACGGAACCTTCTGTGTGGTGTGGTGTGAGGACTGTGAGGTGTGTGTGGAGTGAGGTATGTGTCTGGTGTGAGATATGTGTGATATGAACTGTGTGGATCAAGGTGTGTATGTGATGTGGGGTGTGTGTCTGGTGGGGAGAGATGGGGCAGCCGCCACGTGTATACCGCAGTGGAGAGGATACCAGGAGGCCTGGACTCCCAGGAGGGGGTTCTCCATTGGTTTCACATCTGAGGAGCCCCCTCGGTCAGTGAGTTGTGCTTCCTTCCTCTGGGGACCTTCCTGCACCCCCCAACTCTGAGCTTCCCTGGCCCCGTTCCATGTCTGACTCACAGGAGGCGGCTCATGAGGCTCATGAACCCACCACAGACCCACAGGGCTGAGGGTCCACACAGCAGAGAGCCAGGCACCGCCCTCTCCCTGGCTCCTGAGCTCCTCTCCTCAGCCGGTCCCAGCAGCGGCGCCACAGGCCATGTTTTTATTTCTCTGTGACTTCTGGAATGTTCACACTTTCCAAACCTACCAGTAGGCAAACAGGGTCTTGGAGCCAACAGCACAAGCATCAGCCAGAGGTCAGAAGCCCAACCTGGAGGAGCCCCGGGGCCACACTCCCTCTGGGGAAGGGTCCTTCCTTGCCGCTCCAGCCTGTCCTGGCAGGGGGCTGCCCGGCTCCCACCCGGCCAGTCTCCCTGGGGCCAGGGCCTCCTGCTTGGCTCTCCCTCTTCTCACAGGGCATTGCATTAATGCCCCCCGCCCCGACTGCACCTTACACCATCACATCTGCAAGGACCCTCCTTACAAAATGAGGTCCCATTCGGGCTGCCTGTGGACTGGGGGTTACCTGTAGCAAAACCTCTGGCAGCCGAAGAGCAGCAACAAGGCACATCTGCAGGTGCTGTGCCGACGGGGCTCCCCGTGTGAGTGCCCCGTGGAGAGGGGAGGAGGGCCCGCACCTCCCGGACACAGCTCCAGCGGATGCCAAAACTCACAAGATGGAGGCAGCAGACAGTTCCCGCTGGGCCACACCTGGCCCTGAACCCCATCCCCTAGGTAAAGAGGTGCAGGAGTCCCTCTCCCAACATACCCCTCAACAATCCTGTCCTAAGACCCCCACCCTGTCCTGGGGGCTCCTGAATGTGCTTGTATGGAATTTGGGGACAGGGTCATTCAATAGTTGGCCCAGGCAGTGGGGCCCCTGAACTCTGCTGGGGCAACCCAACACTCTCACCTCCCGTCACCGTGAGCTCCGGGGTTCCTGGGATGTCCCGGACACGCTGCTCAAAATGACCCCCGGCTTCGCGAGTCCATCTGATGCCCAACATTCAAGGCCACCTGGGTGCTAGGGGCGGGGGCCACGCGTGAGTAAGGCCAGCCCTGCTGCCCCAAGCGCCCAGTTTAGACGGTCAGGTCCGGGGGGTGGGGGGACCCCCTGGGCCTGGCGTAGCCTCTCCCTTGGCAGGACATTTGGGGAGCGGCCCAAGAGATCCAAGAGAAAGAGAGGGGTCAAAGTCCAAGCCCGCAGAGTCGCCATGCAAATGTGCAGCGAGCTGCGTGGCCGGAGAACAAACTTATGCTCAGATGACTCGGGGCGGGGTGCATTAGCAAAGGCAATGCCACCCGGCGCGGTCCTGCTCCCCCAGACCGCGCCCCTGGGGCACCCGTCCTGGGCGAGGGGCGGGCTCGGGCGCCCCCTGCTGGCCGCACTGCGCAGCGGCGGGTCGAGCGCGGTCGGCGCATCCCGGCGAGGCCGGAGCCTGCGCGGCGGGCGGGTGCCCCGGGGCGCCCCGGGGGGAAGCCAAGCCCCAAGCTGGGTGGGGTACGCGAGGGGTCCTGGCGCTGGATGGGGCCCAGGCCTTCAAGCCCGTGGCCGGTCAGGGTTCCTCAGGGCCCCTCGGGCGCTGTCCTGGGCCCCGCGCGCCCTGGAGGGACAGCGGCTTCGTGCGGCGCCGTCGGGGCGGCCGGCGGGGGGGAGGGGCCTGTCGGGGCTCGGCCTCCGCGGTGCCGGGGAAGGGGGGGTGGAGCCGGGGGCGGGGCCGTCTCTGCGCCGTACCCCGCTTGCTCTCCGGGGCCCCAGCTCACCTCCAGCCCGGGGACATGACCGGCACGCCCGGCGCCGCGGCCACCCGGGATGGCGAGGCCCCGGAGCGCTCCCCGCCCTGCAGTCCGAGCTACGACCTCACGGGCAAGGTTGGTGGGCGCTGCGCCCTGCGCTGGGGGCTCCCGGGCCGCTCCCAAGGCCACTCCCCCCCGCCCCCCACCTTTGGCGGGAGACCCGGGTCAGAGCCCTTTTCTGCCGGCGTCTGCGCTGGGCTCAGCCCTTTCTGGACAGCCCGGACTCCGGAGCAGGGAGGGGGGTCGCGACAGCCCCGGGCCCCCCCACCTTCTAGGGAGGGGGCTGCCTCAGGGGCGGGGGAGGCGAGTGGGAGAACAGAGGGGCTCCCCCACCCGGTGCCTTGCGCGCTTGGCCGAGATGAGCCCTCGCGCCCCGGGCTGCTCCGTGGGGAAGCGCCCACCCTCCTGGACGCCCCCTGGCTGCGGGGCAACTTGCCCTTCCGGCCCGTTTCCCTGCTCAGCTCTCGGCGGAGACTTGGCATCCAGTTTCTTAGGAAGAAAACTCTCGTTCCTCAGCCGCCCCCCAAGTCCTGCTCCTTCCCGTTCTACCCCCGCAGCCTCTGCCTGGCACCTTCTCCCAGGAAGATGTTCCTAGCCAGATGCAGACCCACCTGGGAATTTTTAGAACCTGAGAAAGATCTCGGGTTCATCACAACCTCCCTGCCCCGCCCCCAGAGCGCAAGTCAGCTCTGGAGCCTGGTCCCGCTGCAGGGTGTCCTGGGGGACGCAGGAGGGGGTGGCAGTGAGCACTGCCCTCCATCCCTGCCCTTGGAGCAGGCAGGTGCCAGGAGTCGGGAGGAAGTGCCCAGGGGCCCTGGAGCTTCCGCTCTTGCTCTGTAGGCTCAGGGGTACATGAGTGAGGGGGTTGTCCTGGCTCAGGCTGCATGACCTTGAGGGAGCCCCGCCTCTTTCTGTTCAGGGGCTCACTCTTGATAGAATTTGGGGCCTCCACCCCCACCCCTTGTTTCAGGGGAAGCCACTTTGCAAGTCACCCCGAGAGCCGTTGAGATAGGAGGGCTGTGTGGGCTGGAGACAGGAAATGGGCCCCCTCCTACCCCACCTTGGGGTGGGGGAGGCGGGAGGGCTGGAGGCCAGCCCCCAGCTGGTAGAGAGCCTGACCTCCTCGCCTGACAAGCCAGCCGGGTGTTTGTCTAGGAGGCGGTGAGGTTGGGCAGTTGTTTGTGTTTGGTGGGATTGTGTGGCTGGGTGGGTGACTGGCATGGTTTGCTCAAGGCAGCTGTGATCTGTAAAGTACACAGTGCTTACCCTTCCTCTCTCCTGCCCCCTGGGGTGCTGGGCCCCAGGAGCCAGGGAGCGGTGCAGAGACACCCCCAAGCCCTGGTCCTCCATCTGTCCCCTGGACCAGGCAGCATCTGCAGACACTGGGCTCCTGGCGTCCAGCAGCCTGAGTGCCCCCCAAGCCCCTGACCAGGGCAGACTGGGCGGAGCCTGCTGAGAGCTCTTCCTTGGGCTGGAGTAGTGGGAACGGGCCACAGGCAGGCAGTGCACACCCCTGAGTCTTAGGTGGCTCACACAACACTGCTGGTTCCAGTCAGTAACAGACTCCAGAGAGGCCTGCAAGAAATTATTGCTCCCCCCTTCTGGTCACCATGGAAAACAAGCCACTAAAAGGTATGGGAGTCTCCCCAGGGTCCCCAGTAGGCTGCTCATGAGTCAGGACCCCTACTGCATACACCTTTGCTCAGCGCCCCATCCCCGCACCCCACACCACAGCTGGATTATCAAGGTCAGTGCCTCAAAATTGACTCCAACCCAGTCTCTGCTCAACCCATTAAGTATCTAGCCAGCCGGTGGGGAAGTCCAGCGTTAGGTCTAGACCTCTGTTCTCGAAGATTGAGAAATGACTAGACAGAGTTCCCCCCCACCGCCCCCCACGGGTCCCCCAAGAAAGAGGAGCAGAGACTGGCAGACAGTAAGGGGGGGGACACACCCTCCCCCCCACCCCAGCGCCTGCATTCCTGGCCTGCATTGACCCAAGGATGCAGCCATTTGTCCCACACGGGGGTTTCTGCTGCAAGAACTTCAGACAAAACTGCTCCCCACTCCAGTATCAATTTCAGGCAACCCTCTGGTGAACTTAGAAACTTCCAAATAACTGTTGTGACTTCCCCTCAAAAATGAATAACTGTAATTTGAGACGATGCCTTGGCAAATGCCCCTCCCCTCCCCCAAATACACGCCCCTCCCCACCTCCTTGCCCCCCCCCCCCCCCCCCCGCCACCCGGCCTGGTTCCTCCAGCTGGGGAGCCCCACTTTATTTCTGTTCCTTTTCTCCCTAATAAACTTTCTTTCTCTAAACAAAAACAAAACAACAAACAAGTCCACGCCCCGGCGGAAGCCCTGCCCGGGTATTGACATGTCCCCCTCAGCTCGCCCACCGCAGGTGCAAACTTGTGAGATAAACACAGAGCGAGAGGGCAAATGTGGCCACAGTGTTGGCCACACAAAAGTGGTGGTTCCCTGGGGCCACCAAGCACATTTGGGGACCTACTGGGGGGAGTTCTCCGTGCAGGCTTCCAGGAAGCTGGGTGAGGAGCAGGGTCAGAGGGGCAGCTTGCGAGGTAAGCTGAGCCGGGGGCACAGAGAGGCAGGGTGCAGGCAACACCCTGGCCCCCGGCCCTCTGCCCCTCTTTCCAGATCCTCCCTCCCGGGAACCCCAGCATCTCAGCCCAACTCCCCATTAACTGCCTCTGCCCCCATCTCCTAGGTGATGCTTCTGGGAGACTCAGGCGTCGGCAAAACCTGTTTCCTGATCCAATTCAAAGACGGGGCCTTCCTGTCCGGAACCTTCATAGCCACGGTCGGCATAGACTTCAGGGTGAGGTGGCTGCAGGCTCCTCCTCCCAGCGGCGAGCCGGGCCAGGGCTCGGGCACAGGAGAGCTGCCCTCTCCTTGGCCACCCGGCTCACGGAGCTGCTGAGACTCACTGCCGCGGGGCACCAGGGTGCTCCCCTGGGGACCCCAGAGGGGGCGGGTTAGGAGTCTGGACACAGAGGACTCCTTGCCCAGCCGTGGCACAAGCGAAACAAGATCCCGGGTCTTCCTTTGCTCCACTCCTGGGGCAGCAGCTGCCCCTGAGCTAGGCAGACACACGCCCTGGTCCGCTGCCCCCTGGGCCAGCCCCTGTGACGAGGCTGCCAGGTCACCCGGCCCCCTGGAGTCCCGGCGGCACGGCTCCGCACTAGGTTTAAGACCTGGGCTGGCTGTTTGGGAGTAAGCAGCCTGCCAGGGTCCCTCCCCCGCACCTGGATGAGGCCCCCCCTTACAAATCTGCACCAGGGAGGCTGCGCCCCACCCACCCCAGAGGGCCAGGAAAGAAGGATGAGCCTTGCAGGTGGACTGGGCAGAGGCGGCTGCCCCCCTCCAGGTGGACAAGGAAAGTGACGGCGCAGGTGCCGCCTGTGAGCTCCCGGGACTCTGGTGGAATTTCATGTCCAAGGGCTCCGGAGTCACTGACGGGGCTGGGTTCTGAGAGAGGCCGAGGGAAGTGGGAAAGGAGCAGATCCGCCCAGTGATGTGCCACCCTGAGCCCTGGGGAGAGCCAGGCAGGGTCTTACCCCCCCCCAACCCCCCAGATGCTGTGAGAAGATGAGTGGAATCCCGAGGAGAGAGGGCTCCACAGCGGGGGCTCTGCGCACAGGGTCTCTGCTGGGCAAGCTGGCTGGAGACATCTCTGGGGCTCCCCACACCCCCTTTAGCCCTGGGGAATGGCCAGGTCAGGACGTTGACTGCTGGGTAGGATGTCAGCAGAGCACAGGAGCCCTGCGCCTCCCAACCTTCCACACCCATCTCTCCCTCTGCCCTTTTCTCTTCCAGAACAAGGTGGTGACTGTGGATGGAGTAAGGGTGAAGCTGCAGGTGAGCCCCAAGGCCGCAGGGGAGAAGGGGAGGAGGGGAGGACGGAGGAGCCTGCCCCTGCTTCACCTGAACCACAGGAGGCTGGGCCCTGCTCCCCCCACCCCCCCACCCCTGCCTGGGGTGATTTCCTGTGGGGCCCCCCCCAGAGGAAATGGCTTTTGATTGTTTGATAATTACAGAAAAAAATAACAGTTCCCAGGCACCCTCTCCTCTACTCAAGGCAGCTCAACTTAGGCCCCTTCATCTCCTCCCTGGCTTCCCCAGCTTCCTCTGCTCCTGGGGGCCGGACACCCCAACCCCTGGGCTGCAGGAGAGGTGGCAGCACTGGAGGAGCTTGAGAACTCAGTAACTACCGCCCCCAAGCGCTGAACAGGCGGGCAGAAGCCCGTGAGAACCTGGCGAAGGAAACAGCCCCACCTCCCCACGCCTCTCCCACACCACATGGTTTCCTCTGCCCAGCGCCTCATGTTTGTCTGTGTTTGTCTGTCTCTTCCCAGATCTGGGACACCGCCGGGCAGGAGCGCTTCCGTAGCGTCACCCATGCTTATTATCGCGATGCCCAGGGTAAGTCTCTCATGTACCCAGCCCCCTTGCAGACCCACCTCCTCCCCAAGCCCCCCTCTCACCTCTCTCTCTCTCCCCCCTCCAGCCCTGCTTCTGCTGTACGACATCACCAACAGGTCTTCCTTTGACAACATCAGGGTAGGGGCTCCCTCCCCACGACCTTTGAGGGGCCAGGCAGGGTCTCTGCAGGGTCTCTGCAGGAGCTGCCTCCTGGGAAGGGGTGGGGCATGAACACTGCTGATTTCCACAAAACTCTCCCAAGTTGTGACTCAGAAGTAATCAACCCCTACTGGGTATTTGATTGGCACAGAGGTCAAGGAGACTGTTTTGTGCCCAGGCCACCTGCTTAACCCTGATTATGATTCATGAGTATGTTTCATGACACAATGTTCAGAAAGTCCCCAGCTCCACCCTGGACAATTACCCACAGAGTCCCAGGGAGAGCCCAGGCTGAAAAGTCCAAGCTGGAAAAACAGTGACTCAGGCAGGCAGACAAGAGTGAGTGACTCTGTCCTCACCACCAAAGTCTTAGAGAGCAGAGATAAGAATTCACCAAACGCCAGCACTGACTGTGCATGGCAATATAAAGGTCTCACGTGCTCCATGACCTCAAGGAGTTGACAAGCAAGCTGGGAGAACAAGATATATAGCTATTAAACAGCTCATAAAGTGGATGGAAACATGGCTCATAAACATGGCTCTCATACTCTCCCCTCCTACCCCATGCTCAGAGCAGACATCACTAATCGATCACAGGGGTTTGGATCATGGAGCTCCCATAAAGTCACTGGCAACCAGCTGATTTATGAGATAAAGGCTCTGCCAACTAAATTTCCCTGGACCTGAGAGTTGCACTGGGGTTGGTTGGGGGGAAGGCCACTCAGTATTGGGGAGACCAGAACAAAGATGCCGATGAGAGGATGCACGGGGTATCATGTCTGGGGGCAGTGAGTAGTCCAGATAATTTTATAGGCAGGAGGAGGGCCGAGAGGGAGCTGGAGAAGCCTGGTCCCCAGCCTTGGCCCACTCACCATCCCTCTCCCACAGGCCTGGCTCACTGAGATTCACGAGTATGCTCAGAGGGACGTGGTGATCATGCTGCTGGGCAACAAGGTGAGTGGCTCCCCGGCAGGGTCACCCCTGCATACCCCTCCTCTCCCACTGGCACAGCCTCAGCTCCACCCAGCTAGCTGGACATCCTTCTAGCAAAGGACACTCTCCAGTCTCCAGTTCAAGGTCGGACCTGTCTGGAGACCTCAAACCCATCTCACCTGCCCTCTTACAGCTGTGCGATTAACTCCTCCAGGGGAAGCTGCAGCGCTCCCTGAGCCAGGGATGCCCAGCCCCTGTGCCCCCCACCAGATCATAGTGAGGAGGGTCACAGACAAAGAGATAAGGCTGGAAAGGGTTAGCCCAACTGCTGTCACCCCTCTGAGGGTAGGCCCCAACACCCTTGCCAGGGAGAGGTACCCACCTTCTCCCTTCAGGCTGGGAGCTGGCTAGCTCGGCCTGAACAAAGCAGAAACCCTGGGCCTTGTCAGAAACCCTCAGTCCTACAGTCCACCAGCAGGGGGCAGACGGTGCCTATTCCTGGGGCAAAAGACATCTGTGGGGGCAGGAAAGGGGACGGCTGGGGTCCAGGCTTCCTTCCCCAGAGTGACCCACCTGGGCTTGACAGGCGGATATCAGCAGTGAAAGGGTGATCCGTTCGGAGGATGGAGAGACACTGGCCAGGGTAAGTGACTGCCCATGGGCAGGACAAGGGGTGGAAGCAGCCAGAGGTCGGTCCTGAGGACATTCTCTCCCTGGCAGGAGTACGGAGTGCCCTTCATGGAGACCAGCGCCAAGACGGGCATGAATGTGGAGTTGGCGTTTCTGGCCATTGCCAAGTGAGACTTGAGTGGGGCAGGGAATGATGTAGGCTAGGGTGGCCCCGGGGCACAGTAGGGTCCAGCCCCTGGGCCCAGCTCCTCATGCGTTCTGAGGGCTGTTTGCTCCGAGCCGTGGGGGTAGGCAGATGCTCAAGCCCTCCTGCTCAGCCCCTGCTTCTTTCTCTTCAAGGGAGCTGAGGTACAGGGCCAGCCGGCAGGCCGACGAGCCCAGCTTCCAGATCCGAGACTACGTGGAGTCCCAGAAGAAGCGGCCCAGCTGCTGCTCCTTCGCGTGAACCACAAGGGGCTGAGAGGAGACTCCAGAGGCCTCGAAGATGCCGCCTCCTCCCGCAGATCTGGTTTATTCTGAGCAGCTGAGGGAGAGAGTCGGGGGACCCCAGAGCCCAGGGCACGCTCCCATCTCTGCTTTAGTCCCTGTAGCTTCCCTGCCTCCTGGGGGGAGGGTAAAATATTTATATTTCATTTTAATTAATTTAATACCCAAGGAAAAGCACTAGATAGCCAAGGTATTCAGCAGTTGACCTGGTGGCCTTTTTGCTTCCAGAAGTAGGTTTTAGGGGGCTGGGCCTCCCTCCAAGCCTTGACCAGGGTGGTATCCGCCAGTTCAGTGCCGGGGGCTTTAATGCACTTCTGGGGCCTGAGGGCAGGCAGCCACCTCGTTCCTTCAGCAGGAGAGAGGCTGAGCCCACCCAGCCTGCCGCACCTCCAGCTCCCAGGGGTCAGTCTTCCCCAGTGAGAGGGCCGGTGTGCTGGAGCTGGAACCAAGCCTCAGGGAAGTTGGTAAGAGGAGCAGATCGGGCGGCCCAGGTCCCTGGGAGAGAGGGAGAGAGTTGCAGAGTCTACCGCTGGTCTGTCAGCTTGGCTCCCTCTGGCCTTTCTACCCCCCCCTCCAGGAAGTGAACCCCTTTTCCTCCAGCAATAGAGCACACTGGGTTACCTGGGAACTCGTGGTTCCTGTTTTCTGGACCTCAGATCCCAGGGGAGCCCCTCCTCCCTGAATCCTTGGTCTTATTTACCTTTCTGCCTGTGTCCCTGGATACCTGAGGTCACAGCTAATCTGTCCCACCTTGGGCAGGTATGCAGCCCCACAGGCTACTTCAAAGCGCAGTGGTTTTTCTGCAGGGTGGAGGTCCAAAGCGAGAGGAGTCCCTGAGTCCTGGAGCAGGTGGAGGCAGGGCCCACCCCATTCAGCTCCACTCCCCCCGGGCCAGGCTAGGGAGAGGGAGGGCATCGGTTTCTGGTAAACCACTGGATGTGTGGAAAACAAGGTCATATGCCTGAGACCGGGGTGGGGAGTGGGGCAGCGAGTTTATGTGGAGCGAAGGTCACGAGTCTCCCAAAAGCCTGACCCCTCAGCAGCTGGAGGTAGATTGGAGACGGGCAGGTGACCACCACCTAGAGGCACCTTTACTCCAGCGCTCCAGGCTGGGGCAGGAGAGGCGTGAGGTATGCGCTGCACATTTCGGTGGCTACTGCATTTGCTTTCAAGGCAGAAATCTTGCACTCAGAGCAGAGTCAGCAGCTCCAACTTAAGTGCGATAAGGAAGCTCTCCGGCCTCTCCCCGGCAGAGCTGGGAGGAGCCTGACCTTGCCTGGTTCTTCTGGGCCTTAGGCAGGCTGCGGGTGACCCAGTCTCGGAGGCTGCTAGGGACTCTAGGGCGTGTGTTTTGCAGAATTAAATTGCAGTATTTTGGAAAGTACACCCTGCCCTCTGCTTCTTTGAGGTGCGGGAGGAGAGCATGTTGACCGGGCCGCTGCACGTGGGGGGAACTGTGTGTGGCCAGCCGCCTGAGTCATTTGACCCTCATTCTTCAGTGTCCACTGGTCACCCCACCCTTAGCAGCCTGCCCTGCAGCCTCCCTGCCCAGCGTCTCATCTGCAGGGAGCTGAAGGGCGGCTTTATCTGACAGCCCTAATCATTTCTCCATTGAAAAATGTCAGATTCCCTTCCCTGTGGAAAGGAATTCGGTTACCTGACCCTGCTGCCCTCCCCACCCCACCGCCCCAGCCCAGCTTTGAAACCCGTGGACACACCTCTGGCCTAGGGGACCGCCTCCAGCGGGGAGCCCCGCGAAGCTTTCACTTTGCCCCAGCGAGGTTCACAGCCCGCACCCCTGTAAGCGGGTCCTCATGTGATTCCACAAACGGAAGACGCCGCAAGTGTGGGCCTCCGTGTCTCCCCAAGATCGCTGGGACCTCGCACCCCGCAGCGGCCACAGCAGCCCCCCAACCCCCGCGCCCCACTCTTTGGAGGTGCACGCGAGGTTTGGGTGAAAGGCTGGGAAAAGTCAGATCCTTTCCCCAAAGACTGACTCTCCCCGAGTCCCCCCCACCCGGGTCGGGGGACTCCAGCGCCCAGCCGGCGGGCGCCCCCGCCGGCCCCCCGCGCGCGCCCCGCTCCCCCCGCCCCGCCCCGCCCCGCGCCCCGCCCCGCCGGGCCTCGGCTACTTGGTAACAAACACTCGCACTTCCTGAGACTCTTTCTTCTCCCGCCGCGGGGCGCCGCGCCGAGCGCAGCGCCCCGCCCGCGCGCCCCCATTGGCCGGCGCCCTTCACCCGGCCGGGGCGCCCCCGCCGCGGCCCCGATTGGCCGGGGGCGGCCCACACCCGCGCGCGGCCCCGCCCCCGGAATAAGGGGCCGGGGCGGGCCCGGCGCGCGGAGTCGCCGCGCGGGGAGGGGCTGGTCCGCGCGCCGCCGGCTCTGCAGGTCGCGCCGCGCTCGGCACCTGCTCGCTCCGCCCGGCCCGGCCCGGCCCGCCCGCGCCCGCCGCCCGCTCCCGCGGGAAGGAGGCCGGGCCGCCGTCTGCGCCCCGGGCAGGACGCGCGGAGCCCGCGCCGGCGAGATGAGCGCGGACGCGGCGGCCGGGGCGCCCCTGCCGCGCCTCTGCTGCCTGGAGAAGGGCCCGAGCGGCTACGGCTTCCACCTGCACGGGGAGAAGGGCCGGACGGGCCAGTTCATCCGGCTGGTGGAGCCCGGCTCGCCGGCCGAGAAGGCGGGCCTGCGGGCCGGGGACCGGCTGGTGGAGGTGAACGGCGAGAGCGTGGAGCGCGAGACGCACCAGCAGGTGGTGAGCCGCATCCGCGCCTCGGCGGGCGCCGTGCGCCTGCTCGTGGTGGACCCCGCGGCCGACGAGCGGCTGCAGCAGCTGGGCGCGCAGGCCCGCGGGGAGCTGCTGGGCGCGCGCGAGGAGCCCGCGCCGGCCGCCCCCGGCCGCCGCCGAGACCCCCGGGACCGCCGAGACCCCCGGGACCGCCGAGACCCCGCGGGCCGCCGGCGAGAGTGAGCCCCAGGCCGCGGCGCCCGAGCCGGGCGAGCCCGAGAAGAGCCCTCCGGGGCGGGTAAGTGCGGGCCCGGGCCGGGGAGGGGGTCGGGGACACCCGGGCGCCCCGGGCCCCCGCGCGCTCCGGCCGCGCTCGGGCGGGCGCGGGGCCGCGCGCAGGCCCCCCCGGGCCGGGCCGCGACCCCCCAGCGCCTTCGTCCACTGCACCTCTTGTCCCCTCGTCTTTGGGGCTCCGCAGGCGGTGCTGGGGCGCCCCGTCGGTCCGCTCGCCCTCGGCTCTGTGGGCGGTGTCTGCGCTCGTGCCTCGGAACCCCCGGCCCCGCCCCGGGGTGCCCGCTTCCTCCGCCGCCCCCGGGGTGGCAGCTGAGGCTGGGGGTGCAGCGGCCGCGCCCCGCGCCTGAGCGAACTAGAGGAGTGGCAGCCCCTGTTTCTGTGGGAGCCCCGGCTCCGGGAGCGGAGGGTCCCCGCTGGGGCTCGCCGCGCCGCCCCCTCCTCCCGGGCCGCGGGCGGCTTATCATTAACTCGCGCGCGGCTGGACTTCATCCTCCAGGTCCCGCTGACTTCCGAGAAGGAGGAGGAAGCCCCGCCGGCTCCGCGCGCGGGGGCGGGGTGCCCGGGGCGGGGGCGCGCGCGGCCGGGGCGCCCGGGAGGGTTTAGGATTCTCCGGAATGTGAGCCGGGAGCGCTCGCCGGTCTGGGGAGGACCTTGGAGGAGGAGAGAGTTGAGCGGGGAAGGGAGGGGCAGTGGCCGGCGGGCCGAGGGGTCCTGCCCTGGCACCGTCTCCAGTCCCTGCACAGCACGCAGTCGGCAACTTTTGCCCTTGTTTGGTGTTTCCCCAAACAAGCGAGTTTGGATCAGCTGAAGGAAGGGCAGCTGGCAAAACAAGGCCGTGCTGAGCCTCCCGTCCCCAGAGAGCTGAGGGGGAGGCCCAGGGCGCGGACTGTGGGAGCAGGACCCGGGCCTCCCCGGAGCCCATTTGGCGTGCATCAGCTTTCCACCTGGTGAGTGCATGAGGCATGTGCTGGGGTGCCAGCCCGCCTCCCTGCACCTCCCTGCGTGAGGACCCGGTGCAGTCGGTGCAGTCTCGCAGGAGAAGGTGGAGCACCAGCTGGTTTGGTGCAAGTGAAGGAAATGAGGTCACCCCGAGGAGGCCTGTCCAGCCAGAGCTGGGTGTCAGGAATGCCAGGGCCGCCAGGCTCCCACTTCCTGCTGCTGCCAGTTGGGCATTGGTAAGGTGGGGGAGGGGTCGGAGCTCTCCTGGCAGGTTGGACACCAGGGAATTGAATTGGAACCCATGACCTCTGTCCCTGGCAGAAATCCACTTTGAACTTTGTGCTGAGGGTATCGATTGGCCATTCCCCCACCCCTTTTTTCCTTGGACTTTGGCACACAGATGACCCCCACCTCCCAATTGTAGTTGTGGCCAACACCACCCATTGTCCTTTTGATTTTGCTGCTGGGAGCTGGGGGTTGTAGAGGCTTAACGCAGCCCACACTCACGCCTCCCTCCTGTGCCACCTGAAAAGGTCGCTTTTTCATTTCCTGCCTTCCGGTGAGCACCGAAAGGGTTCCCCAGCTGGCCGTGGGACACCTGCGCCATTTGTGGCCAGAAGGGAGGAGCCCCTCCTCCAGCGGGTCCAGGGACACCTTCCCCCAGTGGCTTGGGGTTCCAGCTCAACAAGCATGCCCTGGAACTTTGAGCCTTGCTTCTCCCATCTGTGAAATGGGGGCGCCATGTGACAGTGAGACTTGCCTTCTCTAGAATTTTACAAATAACCAGCCGGATGCTGAACTGAGCTCCCTTGTGCCCCGGGCCCTGAACCCAGGGCTCCTGGCTCACACACAGCCACTCAGCACTGCCAAGCCCCTCTGGTAGGAAATGCCCGTGAAATCCGGCAAGGTGGGTGCACAGGTGGCCCACCCTGTGCTTGCAAAAAGAGGTTCCTAAACATCATGAGAGTTATTTCTCTTTTCCTAAAAAGCATCTCCTGTGTAAGTATTCCACCGAGCCTTACTGATTGGTTTAGCCTGAATTTGTCTGCCAGCTGGGGCTGCGATGGTGTCGCCCCTAGTTCTCCTAAGCGCAGTGTAAATGCCAGAGCACCGTGTAGAGAGTGGACGAGGGAGAACAACCCGGGTGGAGGAGAATGTGGGGCCTGCAGCGCTAGGGGACCAGGAGGAGGTGTGTGGTCCAGCCCTGCCCACCTGTTGTTGACTTGCTGCCTCCACACTTGGGGATAGGGGAGCAGCAACCCCCTGCTCAGAACCCCCCACCCAGTCCCATTCACCACCAGCCACAGGGTGAGGCCTAAACCCTTCAACTTGGTGAGCAAGTTGGGCCCCTGAGCCCTCAGTGAGGCTGGGCAGGCCTGAGCCAGCTCATCTGTTCCTGCTGGGCCACCGGGAGCCAAGTTTCTTAACTTCTCTAAGCCTCCACTTCCTCTTGTGTAAATCAGGGGCTGCCACAGCGGCCACCCCTTCCAGTTGTCTGAACCCAGGCCTTGTCTGTCCAGCAATGGCCGAGAGCCTGGCACTAAGTAAGTGCGCAGTGGACCTTGGTGGTGGGGGTTGGTCACAGGGGCTGTTCTAAGCCCACCCGGGGGCACTAGCTCTGGGTCTGCCTCTCTTTGGGGCAAGTGCTCAGCGGTCACTTTACTAATCATGGGGTTCCCCAGTCCATCACAATGTGGTCGCCTGGCCTACCAGTGCCCCCTGTGCCCCTCACCCCCAGCCGCACCAGATTCCTTCTAGCTGCCCTGACCTGGGAGCCTCTGAGGCTCCTTTCCTCCCTCCCCCTGCTTCCTGTCCCCACATCTCTTTTATGGCCCTGAACACCCACTCTTTGCCTCATCTGTTCACTGCATGGCCGGTTCTGTGAGTGCTGAGGGCAACGGCTGCAGCTCATTTGGGTGTCTGTCCCCAGCAAGGTGCCTGGCCCGGGGTAGGGAGAGGCTCAGTAAATATTTTCTTGAGCTGAATGAATGAAAACATAACAGCCAGCGGGGACCTTTGTCCCCAGTGACCTCAGGCCAGCGCACCTGGGCCTGCATGTGCCTGGAGCCCTTCCAGAGATGGGGATTCCAGGTGAGACTACCTGCTCCTGGCTCCTGCCTACTGGCGGCTTCCACTTCAAGACTAGGAAGTCAACGGTCTGGGCTTTGGGGTCCGCCAAGTCCACCCAGGGAACCCCTCTCTGGCTTTGGGACCCCAGTCGTTTAGTGACCCCTGCAGACTTCTACCTGGGAGCGGGACATGGGCACCCACCTGCAGAGTGCGTGGGAAGATTGGATGAGATTGGGGGGGGGTTGTGTAAGTAGGTGCCCACCTTGGGGGGAGGCGGTCAGAACACGGTTCCGGACAAACCTGACCCTGATCCCAAAGGCAGAGGTGGGGCAGGCACCCAGGGCGTGGGGGCACAGTGAGCTGCTCGGCCACCCCACACTGTGGAGCCAGGGGAAGTACATCCAGAGTTGAGCTGCAGGAGGTTAGAATTTGAAATGGGCAAGGTGTGTGGTCGTTGAGGTGCTAGTTCCCCCTTTTCAGCCGTGCGTTTGGGATCCCCGGTCTCGCCCCCCCACCCCCACCCCCTGTCCTTGCCTTTCCTGCTGCTCTGAATCAGTCATTCTGGGGCTGAGCCTCTTGGAGAAAGAAGGGGCTTCCGTCTTGAGGATCCCCGGATGGGTAGGTATAGCCCTTCGCTTCCTCCCCAGACTTTGCATTTTCTGGGTCCCTGGAAAGTGGGGAGCACTTAGGCATTACGGGAAGAAGGGGCCTAGCCAAGGGCTTGTTGGGGCTACCAGCCTGTTCCTGAGAGCAGCCAGACTTCTGGTGCCATCAGCAGGTACCCTCTGGCTTCATGCCCTGAGAGAGCCGCCCCACCCAGGAAGGAAACTCCAATGTCTAGTGTGCAGTCTTGGGCCATAAAGATATTGATACACATTCCATTGATTGCCCCATGACAACCCTGGGAATAAGGTCTTCTGTGTTTCGCGAGTTGATAATAAGTGTTAATAAATGATAGTCTTCATGTGTCTGACAAGGTGCCGAGCATGAGACATGCCTGGTCTCCTTTATCCACAGCCCCGTACAGGACAGATGCGCCCCGTGGTCTCCAGGAGTTCAGCTCAGGGGGCGGCCCTGGGGTTCTCAGAGTCCCTGCCACATTGACCATTGGAACTCAGCTGGCTCCACTCGCACACAGCGGGGCTGCACTTGAGGGCCTGACCCTCCTGCCAGGTGTTGGGGCCATCCCAGGGCTTAGATGCAGGCTGCTTGAGCCGCTCCCGGCAGAGTCCAGGTCACCAGGCCCTTTGGGCCAGGACTCCCACTATCCCCAGGGTATCAGCCCCAATGGAAGGTGCCTCTAGGACGGGGCTCTTGGCCCCATCCCTTCTCACCTCTGGGGCTGGGCCAGGAGTCTGGGACCAAGTCTCTACCCCCACTCCTCTTCCTGAGAACCCACCCTTGCTGCCTGTGGGTTTCCACTGTCACACGCCAGAGACTGATTTTGACTGCTGGCCCTTGGCCAGCCTTCCCCTCTCCCCCAGGTAGGATGACTCACCTGTCCCCAGACTCCTAGACGATGTCTAGATTCCTGGGTCCCAGAAAAGAACTGAATCAGATGCCCCGAGGTCTAGGGTCAAGGCCAGAGGGCTGACTTCCTGGAGACCAAGCTCTGACCTCTACCCTGACCCATTCAAGCAGCAAAGGGCCTGGGGATTTAGGACAGCATCCGGGGCCACAGCCTGGTGGACACTGCGGCAGCCACGGCCACAGGTGGTCAAGCACCTGGCTCCTGCCTGTCCTAACGTGATGAGCTCCCAGAGCGAAATGCCCCATGGTCCCGCAGACGGCGTGCGCGTGAGGACGGCAGGTGGTCTGCTGGTCACACCTAAAAGTGGTTCCACGTCAGAATGATACCTTTTGGCTACAGTGTGTTAAAAAGAAGATGTTGAAAGTGATTTTTCTTCCTCGTTAATGTGGCTACTAGCAAATTTTCAGCGGCCGACACTACGCCTTCTATTTCTGCTGGACAGTGCAGGTCCTGCCCACCCTGCGGTCGGCTGTGTGCACTTGAGCAATTCACCTGATCCCTTTGAACCTGACTTTCCTCTGAGACGAGGGCAGTAATACCTCCCCGGTGCTAATGAGAAAATAACCGTGCTCGGCGCCTGGCGCATAGTCAGTGCTCAGTCAGCCACAGCTGCTGTTTGTGCCTTCCGTGCAGACCCCCGATTTCTGGAAGTTCCTATGTTGCCGAGTGGTGCAGTCGACAGGAGTTAAATCTCTCGACTCCTGGGAGGAGGGTGAGGTGGAGTGCCTGGGGGGCAGGCAGGCATGGAACGGCCAGCCTGGATGGTGTCCAGCCAGGCAGCAGCCCACGTACCAGCCTGCCCCGTCCCAGGCCTGCCCTGCCCTGGGGAGACCTGAGCCAAACTCACCCTTGGGTGGGTCTCTGGCCGGCACGGGGAGAGAAGATGCAACCTATGGGAGCAGCTGGCTCAGGGCCCCTGTGTGGGGGGTGTCGGAGAAGCAGCCCCCACTTGACAGACGTCTCCTCCCTGGATCCTGCCCGCCAGGCTCCAGGGAAAGGTTTTTCTGAGGAGAAAAAGGAAGAACGAGATCAAGAGCTGGGAGTAGCTCCCTTTGTGCAGCTGGGGGAGGGAGGGCCTGGCATTCCCACAAGTGCAGACCTGAGGGGGATGAAGCCATGTGAGGCTTGTGCAGACAAACCCTCGTGCTTCACCTGGACACCGGCGGCCTCTGCTCCTGGTCACCTCAGCCTGCCCTCAGGACACTGCCCTCTCATGGCACCACTCCAGGCCGGGCAGGCCCTGTCTGTAGTGTCTACTTTGAAGACCCAAGCCTGTGCCTTCAGAATCCCATGGACCCAAACTCCTTGCCCCCTTGCAGGCACCCCCCCCCCATCCCAGAACAGCTGGGGCTCCCCCTCCTACCTACACTGGGCCCTGCTTTCCCTGTGTGGCGCCCTCCTCACAGAGCATCATCCTTATTTGCATAAATAAGAGCCCTGGGTGGGGCTGGGGAAAGGGCAGTTCTTGGGGGGGGGGGGGTCACCGCTATTGTTCCCCTAGCCTTCCCTGTGGTCTTCCTGCTCCTCCAGTCCGCCCCTTCTGGCGCCTAGAGCTGGGCGGCCTGCAAGAGGCAACCTGGCATTTTCTATAGGGACCATCACCATGGCATCATCTAGGGAGGGGCTAGACCCAATGGGGCGTTGGCCCCCAGTTGCCTGAACAGGGAGCGGCTCTGAGCCTGCTCCCCAGAGACGGTCACTGGGATTAGGTATCGGCTTTCCACAGCTTTCCAGGTGGCTACTGGTGGCGCCTATTGAATTCCTTGCCCGTCGTCCGCTCCCTGGGCTGCGTGGGTGGAGGTGACTGGGCGGCCACTTGCAGTGGGGCCGTGCTCCCTGGGGGAGAGGGTGGGATAATGGGGGGCAACCACAACAGGCCTCTGACAGGATTTGGGGTAACCTGGGAACCCAAGGGTGGGAGAAGGCCCTGTGAGAAGGGTCTGGAGGCAGCTCTCCAGCAGGGTCTTTCCGGAAAACAGATCTGGAGATGAGAAATCAGCACAGGCTGCCCCAGCCCATTTGCACCACCCCGTTGGCCACCGTCACCTTTTGTCCCTCCTTCCTCTCCCTCTCTGCCGGTCTCACTGAGCAGATCCTGATTTCACTCCCAGGTAACCTTGTCATCGGGGGTCCTACCTGAGGCGCTGAACAGACTCTGGGGTCATGAGCCCCTTGAGGTTGCTGACACCCCCTCTGAGCATCTCCAGAACTGGCACCATGGCACAAAGCCCCATCTGAGCTCTTGGGGGCCACTCACCAAACCCTTGATGGCCTGGAACGCACCCTCTTCCCCAGAGCAGAAGCCACTCCCTGCCCTGCTCTGAGGGTACAGGCCCCAGGACAGATGCCTGGCCCCTTCCCATGTTCTATTTTCTGTGCTGAGCCTTGAGGCCAAGACCAGGTCCCACAAAACCCCAGGGAGGTTCTGCCCCCAGGGTCCCTCCTGCCAGCACCAGCCTCCACCCAGGCAGGGATGGCCTGACTCAGCAGCGGCCTGACACCTCTTGGTCAGACAGCTCTTGGAGACAGCTGGGGGCTGGTGGAGAGCTGGGCTGGTCTCCCTGGAAGCTGGGCAAGCCTGCCTGCCCCCGCTCCTGTGGGACGGGAGGGAGACTCCAAGGACTTGGGCAGGAGGGAGCTAGAGGGGCTCTGAAGGTGTCTGAACATTTCAGAAAACCCAAGGGCTTCTTGTCTGCTGGCCCAGTCACCCCCAGAAGGCAGTGAAGTTCGGGGGCCAGGAGCAGCGGGTGGCCTGAGCCACAAAAAGGGAGCCAGGATAACAGCAGGCCCTCCTGGGGTGAAGCATATGGAGGATCAGTAAGAAAGCCCCCAGCATGGAGACCCCGGCCTGCACCTGGGCTTCCCAGAGGCTGGGGCATGGGGAGACTGCAGCCCTGCAGTCAGGAGAGCGCCAGGCACCCCCGCCCGTGCCCTGCGCTGTTCCAGCCACAGATGCAGCCCAGGCTTGCTCATGGTCGCGTCACCTATCCCAGGCACCGGCTGCAGCGCGGCTGCCACGGGCTGAGCGCCGGAAGGAAGGCCGTGGTTTCATCAGCTGCCAGCCACCTCCTGCACATGCTGTGGCCACTGCAGGGAGACAGCCCTGTGCTGACCCCTCACTGTCCACTCAGCTGCCAGGGGCCTCCACCCGGTCTGGACTGGGGTCTCTGCCGACCAGCCCATGGTGTGGGGGACAGGACGCGTGCCAAGGCAGAGGCAGAACCTCTGCAGAACTGGCTGCCATCAGGCAACGGCGCCACGGCCGGATCCCCCTGCCCCGTCTCCAAGCTGTGGGTGACCAGCCGGGTGCCAGGAGGAAGCGGGGAGGGGCAGAGACATCGGAGCTGTCCCCCTTCACCCTCCCCACATTCTCAGGGCCCAGGCGAGCTCAGTGGGGCTGGGGCAGAAAGCTGAGCCTGCCCTGGTGGCAGCAACTGGTCAGACCTGTTCCTGCCCCCTCAGCCTGGGGGAGAGCCGGCTGGCACTTGGTGGAGGGATTAGCTAGAGGGGAGAAGAGCCTCACTCCCAGAACAAGATCCCAGAGGACTGTGGGGGTGCCAGGCTGCAGGTGGGGCAGCATCAGTGCGGGCCCTCCGTGGGGGCCAGGCCCTGGAGACCTTGGGAGAAGAGGGGGCTTTGCCTGGGGCTGGTGGCCCAGGTGAGGGTACTCTTGGCCAGTGTGAGAAACAGCAGCACCCTCCTTCCTGTCTGGGCCTCCCCACACCCCCACCAACATCCTGAAACACAGACCCGCCCAGACATTTAGAGGAAGGCAAGTTACCACGCACTGTCCGGCCCGCTGCGAGCCGAGGGGTGGGGACCGAATTCCCTCTGCAGATGGCAGCTGCCACCCGGGGCCCTGGCTGGCAAGTTGGGACAGGAGGCCTGTAAACCGTCCTCTCCTTCCCCACCCCTCCCCTGCCTCTCCACTCCCAGCTGGGGGTTGGGGTTGCAGAGCAACCTGCCCCCACGCCCCCAGAATCTCACTTCTCAGCTTAATATGACGTTCATTAGTCCGGACAACAATGGGAGAGTCTTTGGGACCGGGATTGCAGCGCGTCAAGTGTTTCCACTGGTGTTATTTGTCTCACCTGGGGCCCGCGGCAACCTGGCAACCCCAGGTGGCAGGTGGCACTAAGAATGGCTCATAAATGCGGAACCCATGGCTCTGAGAAGGAAATTGCTTGCCCCGGCCCCGGGTGACTTCCTAATAAGCAGGGCAGCTGGAACCTGGGCCTGGACCCCTGCTGGGACTCACCCCTGGCGCCTGGAGAGGACAGAGTTCCCCTGAGAGGCCCTGGGCCCTGGGGGTGGGGGCCCCGGAGTCAGCTTTGGGCTCCTGCCCCTGGCTCACTCTTGCCTTTATTCCCTCCCTCAGGAAGACCGGTCGGGCCGTGGGTCTAAGCTCAGCTGCGCGCATTCCGCGGAGGGCCTGGGAGCTCAACCTCCCCTGTCTGTTAAAAGACCACCTCGGCCCGCGGCTGCCTCTGCCGGGCCTGCTCTTCAGGGCGCTCTGCATCCATGCTCCTGGGGGCTGGCGGGCTCTCGGGCTCTGCGGGGAAGGGGGTGTCCTGGTCCTGTCCAGGCCTGTGGCCACCTGGCCCTCACAGCTCCCTTTGGCGGGGCTGGGGGGGCCCGCGTGGGCGAGGAAAGGCTTTACTGTAAACACGCTGACCGCTTTCCATAAACACCACGCCCGGCTCCCCGCTGCGGAGAATGGGGTACAAGGGGTCCCCTGCCATACTGGGAGGGGTACCAAGTACCACCCCCCATTCTGCCTCATCAGGGAGGAGGGAGCCATCAAAACCACACGATTAACCTTTGAAGGTCAGAAGGGGAAGGGACTTGAGGCCAGGCCGGTCCCGTCCCTCGTTGGCCGGCAGAAGAAACTGAGGCCTGGGCGGAGGGTGCTCCTCCCGGGCCACGGCCACCGCTGCGACGCTGCCTCGCGCAGCTTTCCCGAGGCCAGCCCGGCCTTCTTTCCGGTGCTGTGTGGGCGCCAACCCGCGGGCCTCCCTCCCGGCTCCTCCTTGGGCCGGAGAGTGGGGCCCGGCGTGGGGCAGGGAGGGTGGGACCTGGGACACTGCGACAGCGAGGACCCTCCTTGACCCCCACAGCCTGAGCTTCGGCCCCGACTCTGCATCATGAAGAGGGGCGCCAACGGCTACGGCTTCAACCTGCACAGCGACAAGACCAAGCCCGGCCAGTTCATCAGGGCCGTGGACTCAGACTCACCCGCCGAGGCCTCGGGACTCCGGGCCCAGGACCGCATCGTGGAGGTAACCCTCTGGCTGCAACCCCCGCCCCTGCTGATAGCCCCAGAGGAGCTGCTCCTGGCCAGCCCCCCCCCCAACTGATGGAGGGATGGATAGAATGAGGGAGCGGGTAGAAGGATGGGGAGAGGCGTGGAAGGAGCGAAAGGGAGGGAGGGGGGTTAGCAGGATGGAGGAGAGACTGGAAGGGGGGATGAAAGGACAGATGGGGGATGGAGGGAGACAGAAGGACGGAGATGGGGAGCCAGGAAGGGAAGGATGGAGGGACAGGAGGTGCAAGCAGATAGGACAGAGGGGAATGGTGGGTAGTGGGTGACGGATGGACCAACTCCCTGCCCCCCCCTCCCCCGCCCCCCCCCCGCCCCCCCCCCCCCCCCCCCCCGCCTCTAATTCACCGCGAGGCCATGCTCAGCGGCCATGCTCAGCGGCCGGGGTTCACCCCCACCAGGAAGATGTCTGAGGCCACGGCTGTTGCCAGCCGCCTGAGGCCTCGGTGCCAGCACAGGGCGGGGGGGTGCATCTTTCCCAGCAAGGCCAGCCCTGATGCCCCTGTGCTCAGCGGGGCAGGAAACGTGACCCAAATGCCTTGGGCAGGCCCTGGAATCTCAGTCTTAAATCCTTAGCGCTAGGAGATCAGCTCTCCGGAGACGTCTCGTTTTACATGTGAGAAAACCAGGGCCTGGAGCTGGAAGTCAGTCCACACGAGGCCAGGAAGGCTGGCCCTGCCTGAGCCCCGCCGTTCCATCCGTCACAGCCATTTGTTCAGTCTCGTCTGGATGTTTCCTTGGCCCAGCTCAGGGCTCCGCAGACCCTAAGGGGGGCTCAGTGTCCCTGATTATCCGCTGCCCGGGGACAGAGGGGGCCGTTTGTCCCTCCTCCACTGCCCTCCCCACTATGAGGCCTGTGTGGCTAACCCTGCCCTCCCCCCCCAGGTGAACGGGGTCTGCATGGAAGGCAAGCAGCACGGTGACGTGGTGGCCGCCATCAAGGCCGGAGGGGACGAGGCCAAGCTGCTGGTGGTGGACAAGGAGACAGATGAGTTCTTCAAGAAGTGCAAAGTGGTCCCGTCTCAGGAGCACGTGAATGGTGAGCTGGGGGGCGGCCATTGCTTCAGACCTATCCCAAGGGGGGCTGGGGGATTCCTGCCTGAAACTCCCTCTTCCTTCTGGGAGGCCAGAGGTGGGGAGAGAGTGGGCTGCTGTCAGGAGCGAGCAGGGACAGCCAAGACAGGCTGGACTGCTGACCCGGGGCCAAAGCTGCAGCACCAGAGGGAGGCCTGAGCCAGCCCCTCCCCCGGGGGGTTCTCAGGGCAGAGCCGGGAGGAAAGGGTTAACTCTGGGGAGGCCTCCAGCCCTTGCTTGGTCAGATCAGAGTCCACTGCAGCCCAGGGCCGCCTCCTCCCTTCTCTCAGGTTGTCTTGGAAACTCCAGCTTGCTGGCTCTGGAAAGCAGTGGGTCCCCCTGCAGTCCCTGGGCCCCTGCCCTCCCCTTCCCCCACCATCCCCTGCCAGGCAGAGCCAAGTGGGGCAGGGCTGCACCAGGGTGGGGAGGAGAGAGGGGCTCTCTGCTTCCTGGCCTGGACTTTCTCTTGGGAAGATGGCTCCTGGGGGCCTGGGGGTGGGGTGGGGGTATCCTCTCTGGACTTTGCAATGGGTGTGGCCTCCCCTGGTGTCAGGGTTATACTTGTGGGTGGGGAGGGGGAGGTGGTCATGAAGGCTCTGCCACAGACTGATCCCTGGCTGCCAGGGCCCAGTGGGAAGACCCCCTCCAGGGCCCTGGGGATTTCTGGAAGGGAGACGGGTCAGTTGAAAAGTCCCCAGCATGCTCTGGGCAGGGGAGGCGGGGGCTGCCTTGTGTCCCAAGTTCCTGGAAACTAGAAGACTCAAATAACCCCTTGGTGAGGGGAAAGTGAGGCCCAGACATGCCCCCAGCTTGCTTTTGTGCGCATGGTCTAGGGAAGATACAACTGAAATAGGGGCTCCACAGTTCCCCAAATGCCTCCTCCAGCGTCCTTCACCCCAAGTAATCTGCCCTTAGAAGCTCCTCCTCTGTCTCTGGCACAGTCTCTACCAGCCTCCTCCCAGGCATCCCTCCTGGCTTTTCCGGGATGGAGTCCTTGTCCCTCTGCCACCAAGTGGATCCCGTAGAGGAACATCCCCCTCCGGGCGGCTGCCACGGCTTTGCCCTTCAAAGCAGCCAGAGTTCAGGGGCCTGGGGCTGGCCTGGGGCTGGCCTGGGGCAGCAGGTGGGAGTGTTCCTGTGTCCCAGCAGCCCCTGCGGTGGGAAGGTTATCAGTGTCAAAAGGAAGGACACGGTAAGCTGGGTGTCTGACTGCCCTGCTCTTGTTTGTTTTGTTTTGTTTTTAAGATTGATTTATTTATACAAGAACTGGGGTACAGGCCAGAGGTGTGGAGGGTGAGAGGATTCACCAGAGACAGAGAGGGGAGCAGAACAGGCAGACTGACTGAAATACACTGCTGAGGGGAGCAGCAGGGAGACAGGAGAGGTCTGCTGCGCCATGTGGGTAGCTCCCTGGCCGGGGATCAAACTTGGATAGCTGCGGATAGCTTCATAGGTTGCGTCTCAACCCCTTGTGCCACCAGGGAGGCCCCCGGATCTCACACATTAATGTGAAGCTGGGTTCAGGAAGAACCAGGGCGTCAGGCGCCCTCTACCCTCCATCTCCACTAAGTTTCCCAGGGATGGGGAGCACACACCCAGGACGCTGCCCAAGCCCTCTCACCCCCTCAGCTTCTCACAGGCAGGGATTGTGGGGGGTCATCTCCTCTTTCAACCAAGGCAGTACAAACCATAGCCTGGACTATGGTTCCGATTCTATGATATGTCGTGGTCACCTAGGAAGCTTCTGGAAAATGTGGGCTCCCAGGTCTGTGTCAGCCCCACTGGGTCCATATGGACACCCCTGACAAGCTCCATTTAGGCCGCACTCCACCCGCCTCCCTGGAGCCTCTTAACTCATTTCTGCTCTTGTCTCCTCCCCCAGGTCCCCTGCCCGAGCCCTTCACCAACGGGGAGATCCAGAAGGTAAAGGCAGATGCCCCAGCTGCTCCCCTGGCATTCGGTCGGGGCTGGGGAGAAGGAGGGGGAAGAGGGCATGGCAGGGAGGCCCGTCGTCTGGCCCGGGTTCCAACCTCAGGGTTTCCTTCCTGAGCTCCGGGTGGTAGATGTGCCCGCATACCCCTTAGCCCCTGCCCAAGGCCATTGGGAGAGCCTGCCCGGCCCCTCTGCAGCTCACCATCCTGGGTGACAGACCCTGCCTGCAGCTCCCCACCATACAGAAGAGGCCTTTCTTCCCCCCAAGAACAGAGCTTTAGTGTCTGGCCGCACTGCCTGGCCCTGCTACTTCCAGTCTGGGGTGGAAGAACAAAGCCCCTCCCCCCGGCCCCGGGCAGAAGGGAAAGCAGTGGAGGCTGGGGAAGAGGCCATGGGCCCGAGGCCAGCCGAGGCCACGGAGGAGCCCAGGCAGGGGCTGAGCACCAAATCGAAGTCCTGGCCAAAGCGTCACTCTGGGTCGGGCGCGTTGGAGACACACCTCAGAGTGGGGGCCTCTGCAGGGTCTGCCTAAGGGGTCCCTTCTCCGGGGGGCTCCTGCTGGCAGGTCACGGTCAGGGCACTCAGGACTCTGGGTCTCAACCTTCCCTCACTCTACTTTGTGGGTCTAGAATTCTCCTTCAGGGCCCTTCTTGGCTGCCTTGGGGTTTACGTTCCAGGTTCCCGGAGTCGAGTTTAAGTAAACTGGGGGGCTGCCAGAGATTCCAGGGGCATCATTCTTGTCCCTCCTGGTGAGCCCAGAGGCCCCTGTGTCCCCACAGTCCAGGAAGCTCCTCCATGGTCACTGGCCCAAAAGATGGCCAGTCCCAAAGGGTGGACTCTGGGGAAGCTGTTCAGCTGACCCCACGATGCTCCCCCACCCCACAACCCCTGCCCCGAGGCGGAACCAGGCTGCCCTCTGATCCTGGAGAAATGTGAACATGTAAATCCCCCCGGGGCCCATGGCAGGCACTTGAGTGAAACTTCTCAAGACAGACACCTGTCTTCCCTGGGAACGCCCTCCCTCTCAGGACTTCCCCACCCCACCCCCGCCAACCTGCACCCTCCTCTCTCTGCCAGGAGAACAGCCGTGAAACCCTGGCCGAGCCCGCCTCCGAGAGCCCCAGGCCAGCCCTGGCGAGATCCACCTCCAGTGATACCAGCGAGGAGGTAGGCTGGGGGGTGGCAGCCAGTTACAGGAAGCCCGTTCCCAGGCCACACTCGTTCCTGGCACAGCAGCCTGCTCGGAGGTCACATGCTGAGCCACGTTCTGCTCTTGTGACCTGGCTTCCCTGGGCACTGCCCCAAAGGAGCCACCTCACCACCAGGGCTGAGGACCAGGACGCTCGCTGGCCACGGCCTCCCAACCCTTCCTCCTCTCTTCACAGCTCAACTCCCAAGACAAGCCCCGGAAACAGGACTCCACGGCAGCCTCATCTACCTCCTCTTCCTCCGACCCCATCCTGGACTTCAACATCCCGCTGGCCGTGGCCAGGGAGAGGGCGCACCAGAAGCGCGGCAACAAGCGGGCCCCGCAGATGGACTGGAGCAAGAAAAACGAACTCTTCAGCAACCTCTGAGCGCCCCTCCCGCTGCCAGGAAGGCTGGCGGGGACCAGCCCCCGCCCCATTCTAACCCCCTCTCTCGCCTCCCCACTGACCTCCCAATCAGCACCAATCAGCACCAGCCTCTCCTCTCTTGGCAGATCGTTTTTCTAGAGAACTGTGCCCGTTCCTCGCCTCGGGGAAAGTGACAGTTCTTCCGTCCTGCCCAATCACCGAATGCTCCAGTCTGCCTGCTGGGTTGCCCCTTGCGAGCCCGCCTGGGCCACCCCCGGGACCCGCACCCAGCAAGGATGGCGGGACAGGGAGCGGTGTCTTCCTGTGACCACAGAGGTTGACTGGGCCCAGGGCTCACCAGGGACTGCCGGTGCAGTGTCTCAGCAGACACGGTCGGGTTGTTTTCTGTTGATTTTTTTTTTTTTTTTAAGAGTGCGCTATCACTGAGTCGAGGGAGCTTTGTTTCCATGATTAACGTGATTCTCCAGGTGGCTTCATCCGGGGCCTAGCTAGCCGTAATCTTGGCCTAAAACTTTTCTTCCATGTCTACTCCCATCCCGAGTCAGCCCCGGGCGGCCTGGGTCGGGGCAGGCCCCGTCTGCTCCTGTCTGAGCCAGGCCACCCCACTGTAAAGAACTCCACCTGAAATTCAACTAGTTTCTCCATATGCCTCAGCCTCCGTGTCTTCCTTTAGAGCTGGCCGAGAGATGGTGACAGGTGCCCCAAGGTGGCCTCTGGCTGAGGGTAGGGTCTAGCTCGAGGGCAAGGATGGGCTTCCTGTACCCCAGCCTGGGAGGAGGCAGAGGGGGTGCTTTAGCTACAGGGCCTGCCACTGCCCAGTAGCCAGGCCATTCTGGCCATCAGGCGCAGGGCCTGCCAGTAGCACGAGCTCCACCTCAGGATTTACCGGGGAGGTGGGAACCAAGGCCCCCAGGCTCAGAGGGGGCCTGGGAGGTTCCCCTAACACCACTCCAGGTGGAGCTGGATTTGGAATGCAAACGAGGGTTGCTACCCATCTTGCTACCCGCAGGTAGGGGGTGCAGGATTCCCAGGGGAGGCTTGAGCTGGCACCAGACTAGCTTATCTGGCCAAGGACCTGATTGGAGGGTACTTGTTCAGGCTGGTAGGGTAGATGGCACTTCCCAGGGTAACATGCCATGTTCCCACATCAGAGACACTGGTTCCTGTACCTCTGGCACCTCAAGCCACATCCTGAGGGCTGCCAGGGCAGGAAAGCAGGTTGGTCCCTGGTTACTCTGTACCAGGAGACCACCAGGAAGCCAGGTTCCTAGGCCTGAGAACACGGAAGGAGGGTGATAGCACACCTGGGAGAGGAGCCCTCGGGCTTGAGAAGAGGGCTAGTCATGTCTGGTCATCTCTGGCCTCTAGTTAGGGCCTGAATTCCATCAGCTCAAGAAGACCATCCAAACCCTTATCATGGCACCAATCACGAGGTCTGGCCCCACCCCTGCCTCTACCCTTTGACCCCTGATGGAGCAGGCCTCCCACAGGTGAGCAGCTCTGTAGGGTTGTGAAGGGGCCGCTCCCTACCTCACCTGCCATAGGTAACCGTGCAGCCCTTTGATTAGGCGGAGGGGACAGGTGTCCTGAGCAGGTGGCTCCCGGGGCTGGGCCGCCCCAGCAAGCGAACAAATTTTTGTCTTAGATTCAGTCATGTTTCAGATCGTAGATTTTACATATGTAGTTTGGTGCGAGATGCCAGGATGGAGGGACTGGGAGCTGAGGCCTCAGCAGGCTCTGGCTCTGTGGCCAAAAAACAGGCCTTGGGCGCACTGCCTCAGCTTAGATGGGACCACTTCCTCTGTTCACATACCCTCGCGCCTCCTCCACAACTGGGTTCTGAAACTTGCCTGGCCTTTCTTGATGGCCACCCCAGACTATGATGGAGCTGAGGGGCCACTAGGAGTCAAATGGGTCCCCCTGGCTAAGGTGGGGAGACTTAGCTCAGCTCCACCTTTGAAGCACCCGCTGCCTTGCAACCTGGCCATCCCGAACCTGAGCCTCTGGCGCCCCCTCCCGACCATGTCAGGGACAGCTGCCCCAGAGGGTGGGGCACACCGGTGGCCTTGCCCCCGCCACCACTGGTACAGCTGAGCTGCTTCTCGAAAGGCCCTTGCAGGAAGCTCCAGCTTCAGGCACAGCGGGGAGTCCTCCAGCCACTAGGAGCTGTATCCCACACTAACTTACTCCCAGAGAAAGGAGCAAGGGCACTCCCACCTTCCAAGCCACCTGTCCAGCCAAGGCCAGGACACTCATTTCCAAACCTTGGGGTCGCAGCCGGCCTGCTTCAGCTGGACAACAGCAGCCTGAGCTGCCGCCCTATTCTCACCACGGGCCTGGAAACTGCAGGCCGGGCCTCCTGGTAGCTCCCCTCCCCTCAGGCCCAATGAGGAAATCAGGAGAGCCCGCCGTGTGGTGTCATCTGCTTTACTTGCAGCCAGGGCCTCTGCCCCAGAGTAGCACCTCCAGCCTCCCAGGGGAGAGGGGGTGCTGTCCATTCACCAGCCCCACCTTGGCCTCCACCTCCATCCTCCCGCCTCTCACTCACTCCAGGCTCGGAGAGCCCAACCAGGTTGGCCCAGAGGGGCTGGCCGTGGAGTCGCGCAGCCATGCGTGCAGCCAGCCAGGGAGGCCAAGGCAAGTCAGACCCCGAGTCTGAAGGGCCCCAAACGGAGGTGCCCAGGCTGGAGTGGGGCTGGGGCACTCTGCCCCGAAGGCCCTGTCCGTGGTCTCTGCTGCCGGGCTCCCGACTCTTGGAGCCCCGACACCCGTGATGAGGGGGGTGGCCCATAGGCGGCTGTCAGCGGGGCTCTGAGGTCCCATCCCTGTAGGGCTGCTCCTGCACGTGGCTGGTCTGCTCCAGAAGCCACTGGCGGTGCGGCTGGCTCACCGTCAGCCTGAGCGTCACCTCCTGGAAGACGCTGCTCACAGCCACCTGGGGGAGCCAGAAAGCAGGGCTGGCTGAGCGTCAGGTGCTGCGGCCCCTCAGCCTGAGCGTCACCTCCTGGAAGACGCTGCTCACAGCCACCTGGGGGCGCCAGAGAGCAGGGCTGGCTGAGCGTCAGGTGCTGCGGCCCCACCCTCCAGCCCAGGAGAGTCTCACCTGCTCAAAGTGAAGTTTTCGGAACATCCGGAGGCTCGGTTCATTGTCTTGCCCGATTTTAGCCTCAAACTTGGTCAGACCGAGCTTGGTCACTCCTCCCAGAAGGAACCGGAGAAAGGGACAAGCCGCGGATGGGTCTCCGGTAGCCAGCACCCCCCAGCCTCACCCCTCCCGTCCCGCTTCAGCGGCAGCACCTTCACCTGTGGCTCGCTGGGGCCTTCTTACCGTAGGACATCATCATGAGGACGGCCTCGGTGCCAAAGCCCCGGCCCCGACAGCTGGGCTCTAGGAGAAACAAGGGACCCTGACGGCTCTTGCCAGGCTCTGGGGCCCTTCTAACCCCCACAACTCTGTGCGGCTGGTACTGACCGCTATGACCACTGTGCAGATGAGGGAACAGAGGCTCAGAAAAGCTCAGTGACTACCCCAAGGTCACACAGCCTGGAGACACCCTGCAACCTGACCCCCAGCCTCAGCAGAGGCCCACGAAAGAGGCGCATGGCCCTGGAGGAGAAGGCTAAGGGCCAAGAATACGGAAACTGGAGGGCTCCTCCCAGTGTGGGAAGACGCTCCAGGGAAGAACAGTTATTTCTGGAGGGTTCCAAGCCCACCCCAAGGAAGTGTAAGACTCAAGTTGGAAGACCCTAAAACTAAGGGCTAAGTCCACACGTAAGCAGAGGGTGGGAATGAAGTGAGCCACCAGGTAAATGGGAGCCCAAGGCAGCCTGCCCCCCTAGGTGCTGAGCTGCCCAGGGTGGAGCAAGGCACTCTCTCCAACCCAGGCTGGCCTCAGTTTCAGCAGACCTGACCGCCAGAGGGAAGGAAGGGGGTGCAGAAAAGCAGGGCCAGGTGGAACAAACCTGCAATCATGACCTCGATCTCCCCTAGGGTGGGGTCCCCTCGGTCTGTGAGGAAGAGGTTCACATCTCCCGCCATGCAGCTCTCTTCTGGGGAGGCTGGCTGGGCCCGCCACTTGTCTGCATCCAGCACAATGAAGGTACACTCTGGGGGGGAGGCGACGGGGTCACCACCTGCACTCCCAAGTGATGTGAGGACAGTCTTCCTACCCAAGTCAGAGCAGAGGGGAACACCTGTCTGAGTCTGGCAGGAAAGGGGTCCGGGGCTTCCTCCAGCCAGTGACAAAGCCCTAAATTTGCCTCAGGCGGGACAAGATAGCCTTCTCCAGACAGAAACTGTAATTTCAGAGCACAGGGGACCCAAAGACCAGTAATCATGCCAATCTGCAATGAAGGTTGTGAGGGGCAGGGCCCCAATTTACAGTCAGAGCCCCAAACACTCTACTTCCCTACATCCCTGCAGGCCTGCCACAGGGGGGTGGGAAGAGGACAGAAGTGTCAACCACAGGGACAGCTTCAGGGAGCAGGACACTGGGAGGGCGGCAGGCACCTTCCAGGCTTTTCACCAAGTTTCTGGAGGGCTGTGGCTGAGACTGGAGACTGACCCTGGAGTCACCCTCCCTCCCCCACCACCACCAGTCCAGCTTCTCACTGTCAACATCCTCCCGCCAGCTGCGCTGCATGGCATACTCCTGCTCCAGGGTCAGTGGCTCGGAGGCCGTCAAACGCTGCAGCTCCTCCGATTTCATCCACTCGTGGTACCTGCAGGAATAGAGGGCTGGCCTTCGGCATGCAGGACTGATCCAGAGGCCCAGGCCTGACTTTTTATGAGAGCTTGTAGAAGCTTGTAGAAGCCCCAGAGAAAGGGTTCTGACTGCTCCGAGGCACAAGACTGATCCCCGCACAAGACCTAGAGGCAGGTTAGATGTTCAAGAAAACAGCCAGAAGGGTCAGTTCTATCTCCAGCTTCCCATCCTGTCTCATCCTGTCTCCCGGTCAGTGCGGGGGAGCAGTCTGAAACTACACATTCCTCAAATTCCTGAGGAGGTGCTTATGGCCAACCGACACAGCAAAGGTTGGGCAGAGATCCACAAAGGCCCAGTACCAGGAACCCCACTCCCACCCCAAAAGAAAAACTACAAGTAGAGACTATACCCCCACACCACCGCCCACCACCCCAGTCTACCAGATGTTTGCCAGTTGCTCCCACAGGAGTCCCTGCGACTCAGTCCTCGCCTTTCAAAACAGTGGACGTCAGACCCACCCATCTGCTACGTTATATGCACTGGGACATATGTGCTGGATGCACTGGGACCAGGGGAATGTCACTCATTTACAATTAGGGGAGAAGACTATTTCTTTTTCTCTTACACAGCTTAGTTTACATAAAGTAATTCTTGCTGACTGGCTAAAAAGGAAGCTAAGAGGGTGAAAGGGAAAAACAGGGATGGCGGCTTCTTCCAGGAAGTCATACTCCTTTGCTTTCCCTTTATCTGCTCGTAACTACTCCTTGCACCTTCTCAGATGAAATACTCACTGAGATCTGGCCTAAGGAGGGTGACCTACTCGCTGTGCCTTAAAGAGCTGCCTTGCACCCCCCGCCAGGGGGTAAATGGTTACCTAGGCACATGCTCTGAGGTGTAAGGTACCAGGACCACCTTCTTCCCCAGCAGCAAGATGTTCTGATTCAACCTCATGGTAGCAGCCTGCATGTGGGGAAACAAAGTCAGGCCCCTTCACACCTAGTGTGAAGCTAGAGCACCCCAGTCTCTGCAGCTAAGCTGTCAGAAGCGCCTCGGTCCTTCCCTTGCACACACTTCAGAACATGCAGACTCTAACCCCGCGGCAAGAAGGGGAACAGGGCGGTTTGAAGATAATCAAGCTGAGACTCCTATCGCAGGGGCCACGGAGGGCAGAATTTTCTGCCCATCTCTTCCTCCCCACTTGGCAAAAGGCAGATCCCTCCCACTCAAGAGGAACCAAGTCTTCTCTGCATAACTGGCCCCAGTCCAGAGTCTCCGCCCCGGGATCAACTTTCAGCCCTGCCGAAAACTGGTTTCAATCCGAGACCCCACCCCGGGCAGCTCCGGGTTGAGGCTCCCCCACTTCCCCGCCCCAAGCCGGCTCTCCCAGGCCAATCTAGGGGGAGACCGACTTAAATTCTCAGTCCCCTCCCTCTGGTGTGGAGCCACAGGCCACTCTCCGCCAGTCACCCCCATCTCACCCCCACCCACCGGCCCGATTCACACCCGCTCCCGCCGACTAAAGCGTCGCCGGCAGCAAGACCCAGCTCTCGGGCAGCCCGGTCCCCACCGCGGCGCGGTCCTCCGCATGCGCGTGGGGCGCACCCCGCCCACTTCCGCCACGCAGACGGCAGCCGCCCGGGCCCAATTCCGGCCCCGCCTCCTTCGGGCGTCCAATCAGCGCGCGGCGCTCCGCCCCAGGCGCGCGCGGAAAAGGTGGGCCCCCGGCGCGGCGCATGCGTGCTGCGGGCGCTGGTGCGGGACAGCTGGCGCCGGTGCAGCCCCGGCCCGGAGGCGGCGGGCGCGGGCGCGGAGCCCCGGAACACCTGCGCCGCAGGTGACGGCCGGGCTGAGGGGCAGGGCTGGGGCGGCGCCACACTCGCGGCCCCTCCTGGAGGGAGGTAGATCGGGGGAGAGGCGTGGAGCGGGCGCTGGACAAGCCAGGGAGGCTGGAGGGTGGGGAGCCCCAGGGCTGGTCGGGGAGCAGGGACCCGAGGCCCCCTTAAAAGAAGAGGTTTTGGGACCAGGAGTGGGGCATGGGGCTGGCTAGGAGAGCCCCAGCCCCTTGCCTTAGGCGGGGGAGGCAGTGGCTGCGGCTGCCCCGGGTCGCAGACGCTTGCTAGTCCTGATTTAAATGGGGAGACCCACCTCAGGGAGTGTAAAGGGGGCCGGTGACATTTGGCGACTTCCCAGACCCCTAATACCACATGGAGTCCGCGCGGCAGCCAGTGAAGCACAGCAGGGGAAGTTAGAGGAAACCATCTGGGTGGCTGTCCCCCGGGAGCCCCTTCTCTGTGACAGATTCAGAGGCTGTGTCTGTGATAAAAGGCCAGGGGGGCCCCCCTCAGTTCACCACCCCCACCCCCTCTAGGACCGTTTAAAGTTGAAGTCTGCTCTCTCGCCTTAGGGAACCTCAGCAGCTGCCGGCCCCTACCAGAAGGAACCAGAGCCTCGGACCCTTCCTCATTTTTGGAGATGGCGGGTGAAATCACAGACACCGGGGAGCTCTATTCTCCCTACGTGAGTGACTTTTAGAACCTGTTGCCCGTATCCGTGCTCCTGGCTTCTAGGCATGGTTGCGGCTTCCTGCGGAGGGTAACTGATGAGCGCCTGCTCTTTGCACAGACCCTGGTGAAAGCCAGGGAGGGGGATTCAGTGAGGCCATGTTAGTTGCTGTCAGGGCCCAAAACTTATTCTGAGAGTCAAGTGTTCACTTTCGAGGTGTTGATCAGAGAATGGTAGGAAAACAAAGCTGCCTGGCTCACTGTAACATTTCTCTCAGGGCTGCACCACGTGCTGACCGTGCTGCCCTTTGTGGCTAGTGATGGACGGCTGTTGACACCGGGTTCTGCTCATCTCAGCAGTTGGAAACCACTTTGGTCTTAGCTGAATTTTAAGTTGCACAACTTTTATAGTCTTGGATGATGTAAACAGTGGTGAGGGCCTGCAGGGATTTCCAGTTGCTGTTCTGTGGAGTGTGTAATTAGGACAATTAGAGCGAATGGGTTCTCACTGTCTTCGGTCTGCATTACCCCCCACACAGACACTCAGTTTATCTTCTCTGTGTAGCAGGAGAGTGATCATGGCTGCGTCACAGAGTCCTCACATCTGACTGGGTAGCTGGAGAGTTGGAATAATCAAGTGATTGATTCACTTTCCTACCAAGTATCCCAGGGAAGAGCAGCGCAGTACCTTACGTAGCAAGAGTCCAATTTCTAGAACTTGGCTACTCTTTTTTTTTTTTTTAAGATTTATTTATTTATGCAGACAAGAACTGGGGTATAGGCCAGAGGTGCAGGGGGTGAGAGGATTCACCAGAGACAGAGTGGGGAGCAGAACAGGCAGATCTACTGAAATACACTGCTGAGGGGAGCAGCGGGGAGACAGGAGAGGTCTGCTGCGCCATGTGGGTCAGCTCCCTGGCCGGGGATGGAACTCGTGCTGCAGTGGCTGCCGATAGCTTCATAGTGCTGAGATTTAACCCCTTGCACCGCCAGGGAGGCCTAGAACTTGCTACTCTTAAAGAGCTGTCCACTTTGCACTTACCTTCCTGGCCCCGGGGATCTTTGCTCTTGTTTCTGCTGGCCTCACTGACTCCAGCTGGGATGTGATGGTCAGGAACAGCTGGAAAAAGCCCTCCTCACCTCCTGCTGGTCCAGCATTATGTGCAGCAAAGAAGCCGCTTCTGCTAGATCATTTACCAGGGGAAATCTTAAACCTTGGAATGACAAGAACCTCTGCTGAGGGATTGTGTAACAGCTCCTGGCCTCCTCTTGCTATCAGCAATGAAATGACCACGCTGTCCATAAAGTCCCCAGGGTACATGCTGCTTCTCCTAACGTCTGTGAACTTGGGGTCATTTCTCTAAGAGGGTTCGGGGAGGCAAAAACATTGCTACACCGTGTTCTTGTTCCTCCAGTTGTACGGGCGATGGTCTCACGTTGTCAGTATGTGCCTGTGGGAAACGAAGCCCGAGAGCTTCAGTGGACTCCAGTTTTCTCTCTCCCTCTGTCCCCCGTGTGTTTGATTTTACTGAGAGCTGTGTCTGAGGCCCTGCTCCGTCCCTTTGTCCTGCTGCATGTGTTCTCTGAGATGGCGGGAAGAGATGGGTGGTGTGGAGGATGAGGTGGCTGTACCAGGAGTAAGTGGTGGGGTTTGAGGAGATAACACACCATCTCCTGTCATCCCTGGGGGATGGTCCTTGGTCCCCAGGAGGCCAGGAGAAAGGTGTAAGGTTATCAGTTAGGCACGGAAATGACTTTTCTGCAGCTGCTACTTCCAGTTCCCTATGGCCCCAGCCCCACAGGTGGTGGATAGGACTGCCCTGCCGCCTCGGGGGCCTGGATGCTTGCTTGCTTAGTCCGTGGATGTGCCCAGAATGGTCGTTCCCAAGAAAGCGTCTCCTGCTCCCATGTCACCCTGTCATCAGCTCTCTTCCCCTCCGTGGGTGCCAGGATGTTTGCCTCAACATCCTGTTTATTCTGCATGAAACGTTTGTAAAGGGCAGGCAAGCCTCACGGGGGCGGGGGTGGGGGGAGCCTCAGATGACAGACCCCCTCTAAGACAGTGCAGGACACAGGAACAGGACTCAGGCCAATAAGCCCCACCTCAGAACAGGTGCATCTGTGTCCCCACTCCGGAGACCAGTACTGGCTGGGGGGGCAGAGGGGGCAGCCCCTGGGTGATCCAAGAAGAGGGGGAGGTGGCCCATAGCCCAGCTCCCGAGGGTGCTGCCTCTGCTGGTGTCCTGCCTGTCGTGACTGGGGCTGTTGCCATCGAAGGAAGGAGCACTGGCTTCGCGGCCTTAAGTCCTAGCTGCTGTTTCTGCATCTCAGCTGCCTCTGTTTCCTTTGATAACTGTCAGAGAACAAGCTGTTGAGACACCTGCCCCCGGCACGTTTGCGGGTGAGCCAGCTAGGTTCCCGCTGCACCCACTCCCCGGAGCACTAGGGCCCTCGGCCTTCCCGGGGCCAGGGACTGTGCTCCAGCCTAGCCGAGGAGGGCAGGTCCCAACAGGGAGGACGCTGGCTTGGGTCTGCAGCCGCCTTCTCTATGGAGACCGCGGCTGGGCTTTATTCCCCAGCTTTCAGCCGCGCCTCCTGGAGGCTGACCCTGCAGAACTGTCATACGTGGCAGGAGAGACTGCCGGTTCCTCTTCCTCCTGCCCACAGCTGCCTTTGACGTGGCCTGCTGCTCGGCGTGCACCTACCACCTGCCTCCTGCCTCGCTGTGTGCCCTTCACTCTGGCCAGGAAGTGGAGAAGTGCTTGGTTTGGGCCTGAAAAAGAGCAGCAAAGCAAGATGTGGCTGCCACATCTGCTCCTAACTGCCACTGTCGATCTCTAATTAAGGTCTTTGTAAAGTTCTTTTTCACTGAGGGGTATTTGACGTTTCTCTGGGGGTGTGTTTATTTCATGGTGGCAGTCTTGCCCCCAGGGACACTCGGCAATGTCTGGAAACATTTTTGATCATCATTGGGCAAGCAGGAACTAGAATCTCACGGGTAGAGGCCAGGGCTGCTGCTGGGCATCCTACAGGGCACAGACCCCACCGCAGATAGCAGGCTGCCCCCAGAAAGGCACAGGAGGGCCTCAAAAGTATTATTGCCCCCCAGGATTCAAAAGTAGACAGTGAGCATGGTTTGCCAGGGCTTTGTGGTAGATGCACATTGGAATGGGCCCCTAATGTTGGGGGACCCCAGAATGGCAGTTGACAATCCCTATCTCTATTAGAAGAAGAAAAATCTGACAGAGGTTGGGCAAAGAGCATGCAATTTGTGTGTTTAGGGTAAAAAAATTTTAGCAGGTGGTTATCTTAGAAGTCGAAACTCTCGGAAGCTCCCCCGCCTGTGGCCTGGGCCACGCCTCCAAGTGAAACGATGTGTAAGAAAGCGGAGCCTCACCATTTCGTTCCTCGTGGGCTGGGATTGTTTTTTTCTCAACTCTGGAACAAAACATGATTCGAGGACCTGCAGGTATAAAAAAAAGTGCATCTTTCGAAGAATGGGGAAGTCAAAACGAGAGGGGGTGGGTGTTCCCAAAGACAAAGTCAGTTCTTTTTTCAAACAATCAGAAACGAGCTGGACGTCTGCCGGGTTAGAGAGGACAGGAGGCCAGGTAGAGGCCAGGGCTGCTGCTGGACATCCTGCAGCGCACAGACTCATGCTACACCATGAGTTTGCTGGGCCAGAAATGATTCAAGCTACACACGAGAGGCAGTAACCGCAGAGGACGCTCAGAATGAAATCATCCGCTCCAGGGTATGGAGAAAGGAAGGCGCTGAGGCCACGATGGGTGTGCCCGGGGTGACTGGCAGGGGGTTCAGATTGCGGTCTGCCCAAAGGCTGACTCTGAGCAACCCAGTCCGCTTTTGTCCCTTCCGGAGACTAAGCCACAGGATCGGCTGGTCGCTGAGGAGAAGCCGAGGGTCAGCTGAAGCCAGGAGTGTGAGGAGAATGAAGACCAAGGAAAGCATTGGATTTGGTGACTTTTTTTTTTTTTTAAAGACTTATTTATTTATACATACAGGAACTGGGGTGTAGGTCAGAGGTGCGGGGGTGAGAGGCTTCTCCAGAGACAGAGTGAGGAGCAGAACAGGCGGATCTACTGAAATCCGCTGCTGAGGGGAGCAGCAGGTGAGACGGGAGAGGTCTGCTGCGCCCTGTGGGTAGCTCTCTGGCCAGGTGGGGATCGAACTCGTGCTGCAGAGGCTGCCTATGGCTTCATAGTGCTGAGACTTAACCCCTTGCACCACCAGGGAGACCCTGGGTTTGGTGATTTTTTTTTAAGAAAGAAGTTTCAAAAGAGTTCGGGGGATGGAAACCCCAAAGCGCAGGGGTTTGGAATCGAGGACAGAGGTTCAGCGTGGCTGCTTCCATGGGTTTGCTGAAGAGGCAGTGAGGTGGCGGTGTCAGAAGGGGAGAAGGGAGCACAGCAGCGGAAAGCAGAGAGCTCAGCCCGGAGTGGGGTGGGCGGGCCCAGACACTGAGATTCGGGGGATGGGGTGAGGCGTGGGGAGCATGTGTCAGAAGCCCCTGTCACCTCCATGTTGGGAACGGCAGTGTTCATGGGAGAGTTGGGGGTCGCAGGGCGGGGGCCTGGAGAATGAGGCTCTGTGCGCTCACCAAGGGGAGTGCTGGGAAGTAGTGGAATGCTGGTCTGGTGCTGGCGGGCCTCGGGGAAGGGGCCGTTCTTGTGTTGAGGAACCAGGCAGATCTACAGCCCTGGAGCCTTTACGTGGCTTTTGTTGTGAGTGGAGGCAGGTGCTAGGAGCCTAGAAGGGTAGAGCTGGGCAGCCACTGCCTGTGTTCTGGGGAACCAGCCCGATGTAAATGAGGTGGGAGCAGGGAGCGAGGCCACAGTGGAGGGGGTGGTCTGGGAAGGGAGGGTTGAGGGGACTGGATGTCGTGATGAGGACAGAGGAAGTTCAGTGGGAGTGGAGAGGGTTCTGGAAGGCATCAGGTCACTAAGGAGTGGCACGGTCAAGACCTTGAAGAGGAGCAATCGTGATGGACTGAATTAGGGCCGAGTTGGCATGAATTCAAGTTCCCTCTGAAACCTGAAGGCTGTGGCCAGCGTCCCAGCCCAAGCTTGGTTGTCAGGGCCTCAGGCAAGGGACCTGGTGGATGTGGGGTTAAATTGGGGGGTAATGGAATGGAATTTGAGGTGGTGCTCTTTGCACAACCTTAAGACTATACCAAGACTGCAGAATTGTGTGCTGGAAAGGGTGATTTATGGCATGTGAAGTATATGTCGTTTTTCAAATCCCTACAGTTAGCGTGGGGAGGCCAGGGGAAGGCAGCGTGGATGTCGCCGCCCCGAAGTACCATACTAAGACCAGGTGGAGATGAGGACAGTCACGCGTGTGTGGTCTTGGAAAAGTGGAAGCTTTTTTGAGGTCAACCCTGGGGGGTTCAGCCTGTGCCAGGCACCCCAGATACGATGGTCTGGCTTCGGGAAGCTGCCATCTGGTTGAGCTGCGAGCTGACATTGCAACACCAGGGATGGCCAGTAGGACAGCACCGGGGAGCAGAGCCTGCCCCTCGGGGCCCCCAAGGAATTCTCCCTCCCACCTGCCTCGGGTCACACATCTGGCCTTCCGGCCTCTCCTGTGCTGCTGCCGCCCAGAACCATCCTTGGGAGCTGGGCGGGAATGGGCGGGCCAGGAGGGCAGCTCATTTCTGGGCCTGAGTGTGGCTCCCCTTCTTCCAGGTGGGGCTGGTGTACATGTTCAACCTCATCGTGGGCACTGGCGCGCTCACCATGCCCAAGGCCTTCGCCAGCGCTGGGTGGCTGGTCAGCCTGGTCCTGCTGGTTTTCCTGGCCTTCATGAGGTGAGAGGCGGCGTGGGCCAGAAGCCGCGCAGGGCGGGGTGCAGGTGGGGAGGTGGGCCGGGGCTGGGGATGACGTCTGCGGTGATGGGTCCTGCGGGACCCGGGAGGGTCTCGGGGTCTCCTGCTAATGGAGCAGCTACAATCCCATGGGGTAAAGACGAGACCTCAAGACAGGCTGAGCCGCTTCCTGGCAGATCCACCTCCCCCTTGGGTCCTTTTACGAGTCATTGTGCTTTTTTTTAATATGGTGTTTCCATCTCTTTTTTTTGTTTGTTTGAAATAACATGGTATCGCCCACTATCTAAGTCTGAGCTGTGCGCGGTTGAGAACACCCAACAGTGAAGTCCACCATTAACTCGGGTCTGTCCCTCCCCACACCTTTGTCCCTTTTCCTTCCCAACCCTTTGTGTTCACTGGGAAACCAGCTTCTACGTTAAAGGACCCCACAAATATTTAAGGTGCTCTAGGAAATCGCTCTGGAGGTAAGACTTTGCTCAGGTTGCCCCCCGGGTAAGTGGTAAGCACACAAGGACACACCTAAGCCGGCGTCCGTCCATCCTGGCTTATGCCTGGCAGTGACAGGAAGCCCTGGCCTCACCCGGACTCCCGGGCTCTATCTCCTGGGCCAGATGTGGCACCTGGGACTGGCCAGCCGGTGTGTCCCAGGCCTATTCTCCACCAGGCTCTTCTTAGCGCCCCAGGCTAGGCAGGGACTTAGGCCTGAGCATGTCCAGTCCCATCAACCAGGTAGGACCCCATTAACTGCAAAAAGGAAGTGCCTCTGAGAGAGACAGCCCGGGCTGTTCCCAGGTGCATGAGGTGCCCCACTGGGCAAAGCCAAGAGCACTGCCCTCATGGACAATCTTTGGGGGAGGGCAGTAAGCAGTGAAGATAAGAAACGGGTCAGCTGTAGCATGTTAGGGATGAATTGTATGGAAAAGCTGGGCAAAGGGCCTGGGAAGCCACGCTGGTAGGCAGTTGGCAGTTAGTGGGCAGCATGAGAGCAGAGATGGGCAGGAGTGGACACTTGGGAGGAGAGAGGTTCGTAGTTGAGGCAAATTAATACCTAAGGAGGCTGATTGGGATGGGAAAACTGAGTTTGTCAGGTTTTTATGCATTTTCCTTTGGGGGGGCCTTGCTGTAACTTTGGGGTACCATTGGCTCCTTACATACTGTGGGCCCTGGCAGCCAAGAGCTCTGGAAGCCCTTGTCCTCTGGGCCCTACCTTCCCCTTGAAAGGACCTCCAGCAGAGCAGCCATCCGAATGGGCAGTGATTACTGGCGCCCCAGGCAGGTGCCATGCCCTCCCCGCTGAACCCATTTACATCTGAACATGATCAATGAGCTGCTTCTTTGTAACCGAGAGAACCTCTCTGCGCCTTAATTAAGATAGATTTCGTTTTACTTCCTCAAAGAAGGGGAAATCAAAGCCCTTAAAACGGTCACTTAGGCAGGATAATGAGAACCCTTCTCGTGGGCTGGGCCCCTGGAAGGGGAATTTCGGGCTGGCCCCCCTCCCCCTGGAGACGCAGTGGATGTGGGCTCAGCTCCTGGCCCTCCGGCCCTCTGGCTGGTGCACTGGGCAGTCGCCTACAGCAGGTGACAGCTGTGCTAGGGCACAGGGCTGGTGCCACAGTGCAGGGAGAGGACCCTGGGCCCAGCAGAGGTGCTGGTTCTGGGTGTTGGGGTCTGGCAGGCACCTGCCCAGTGTCTCGTAACAGGAGCCACCAGGCCTTCCAGCTGGGGCTGGGGAGCGCCAGCCTCCTTAAGAAAGATGACTTTTCGGCAGCTGTCCTGCCCGCCTGTGACTGTACAGGTGCCTCTCTATTTCTCCTTTTCCCACTTAACCTGCCTTTCTAAATGTATAGAAAAAGAAAAGATGATTTTTCACTCTAGCCACTTCGCGGCAAATGTCTGACAGCAACCCCCAACCTCCTTCTCGATGCAGGCCATAAATATGCGAGCTTATTTTAATACCAGCCTGGCTATTAGGAAGTAAGGTGCTGCCGAGAAGGGGAGGCAGGTGGAGGGGGGCCAGACTCTGGAGCCAAGTGTTCTTTTCAATTATCCTCGCCTGCGCGCCCACCATCACACACGTGATTGGGAGTTGACCGCTCGGCTGTGCCCCGGCAAGGAGAGGTGAGAGCTGCCGCTGTCCTTCCAGAAGCCTTGGGGAGACGCCTTGTGAATCAGCCCCCGTTTCCCGACTCTCCGAACCGGTGTCCGTCCTCCCCCAGCCCCCCATGCAGCCCCAGCAGCCCCCTCACCCTGCAGCACTAACAAGCCCAGGTCTCCTCTTCCAGCTCCCTCTCACCTGCCCTCACATCAGCTCCCTTCACACCTCCCTCTCCGTGAATCGGAAATACATTCTAAATGTAGACATGGACATCAAGGCAACTGGCAAGGTGTCCCGTATGAACACACACTTTTTTTTTCTTATCAGGTCAGATCCATCTCGAAAGTTCCCTGGGGAACAGCCCTCAGAAAAATGAACGCTTTGGGCATGTTGGGTCTGGTCAGGTCTTAAAATGGCTCTTCTTTGTCTTTGTACCTCCTCCACCCCCCCGCCTGCCTTCGGCCACACACTCGGCCTGCCCGGCAGCTTTGTCACCACTACCTTTGTGATGGAGGCCATGGCGGCGGCCAACGCGCAGCTCCACTGGAAGAGGATGGAAAACCGGCAGGTGCGTGTGCTGCCCTTGTCCCCGGGTAGGGCCTCTGCCCCTGGCCGCCCGCACTGACCCTCCGGGGCAGGGAGGGCTTAGGCCACAGCGTGGCCCCAAGACCTCAGTCCTGGAGCCTGGCGTCACCAACTCACAGAACAAGGGCAGCCTAGCCCCCACAGTGTGCTGACCTGGCCCTCTGCTCAGTCACCCTGCACCCTCCCACCCAGGGCGGTACTGACCTGAGTGCATCTGAGCCCCAGCGTGACCACAAGGCAGTGTCCAGAGCTTCCTTGTCAGATGCCCTCTAAAAAGAAATAGCGGAGGGCCTCCCCGGTGGCGCAGCGGTTGAGCGCCGGGTTGCGAAGCTGCCCACAGCCTCTGCTGCGCCGGTTCGATCCCCGGCTGCTCCCCGGCCACCGGAGGAGGGTCCCACATGGCGCGCAGACCTCTCCTGCCGCCCGCTGCTCCCCTCAGCAGTATATTTCGGTCCTTCTGCCTGCTCTGCTCCCCACTCTGGCTCTGGTGAATTCTCTCACCCTCCCGCGCTTCTGACGGTACCCAGTGCTTGTATAAATAAATAAATAAATCTTTAAAAAAAAGAAAAAGAAATAGCGGAGGAAGCAGTTCTCCCCTGCCTGGGAGTTTTCAGTCATTATTTACAACTTCTTTTCCCTTATTTTGTTCTCCTCCCCGCCCACCCTCTCCACCCCAGGAGGAGGAAGGTGATGACTCCTCCTCGGCCTCCGACAGTGATGGCCTCACGCAGGACAACTACGAGCGGGCAGAGAAACGGCCCATCCTGTCAGTGCGTAAGTCCTGGGTTCTGGGAGGCCCGCACGGCCCTCTGGTCCGTGGGGCCTCGTAGCAGGGGCCGGGGCACCTCCTGGTACTGCCCCGTGGCCTTTCCTGACGGAAGCTGGCTCCTCGGAAGGCACCTGTCAGCGTACAAAGAGCAGGACGCTCGGGCCGCACCCTTGGTTCCAGCGCTTACTGACCGCACAGCGAGACACGGAGCCCGGGCCCGCCCGCTGCTCTTGAAGTAGCGAGTGCCTGTCTCCTGCTGGAGGTGCCGTAGATGGGTTGGGTCTCTGGCTTCTCCCTTCCTCCCATCCCGCCCACACACACACGGACTCCCTGCTGGTCTGCTCCGCCAGCGCTGAGTGACCGCGCCTCCCCCCCAACGCCGGGCCGGGCACCCGGGGACCCTCCCCATGTGTTGCCTTTAAATGTCTCGAGCAGGAAACTTGAAGTTCTCTCAGGAGCTTGAAGCCCATGGGGATTTCATTGCTCCAGAGAATTCTGTGAGCCCGACACCCCCCTCTAGGAGTTTTTCAAATGGAAGATCCACTTTGTCCTTGTCCTCCTCACTCCACAGAGAGACGGGGCTCCCAGAACCTTTTTGAAATCACAGACCGGGTGGAAATGGGACAGATGGCCTCCATCTTCTTCAATAAAGGTAAATTCTCCTTTCCCAGGGGGCTGAGGGGAAAGGGCCAGCTGGCACGTTCTGCCGCCTTGAGCACCCGGAAGGAGGGGTGCACCTTGACAAGTGGGGGTGAGGCCGACAGGCCGTGGGGTAGAGCGGATGGTCCACCTGCTCCCTGTGCCTTCGAGAAGCCGCCTTGCCGAGAGGCCTGAACTGCGCCACGTGGTCTGGGATTCTTCCTCCTCCGTCAGCGTCAGAATAAAGCAGCCGCTCCTGCTGCTCAGCTCCTACTGCTGGTGCAGATCAAGAGCCCTAAGCCGCGCTCCAACCAAGGGAGCCCATGGAACCAGCTGCAGCTTTGTGCTTCTGACTAGTCCCAGTTTGCAGATTCTGGGCTGTTCTGTCCGGGACAGCCCTGTCAGCCACCTGGCAGCAGGCAGAGCCGCGGCGCGCACGCCTGGGTGGATCTTCCCAGAAGCCGGCAGAGGGCGCCAGGAGCCCACGCACCGGCGCCCGCTCCCTCTGCCTCTGAAAGGGACGAGCCGAGGGGCCGGACAGCTCAGCAGCAGCACCTTACCCCTCCGCGGCAGGTCTTGTTCTTTTCTAAGACGAGCTGTCAGATTTTTCTCTAATGCCCAACCGTTCCCGCCCCCTTCAGAGAGTCAGGCACATCCCGAGCTGTCCTCACCCTTGCGGTTATCTCAGGAGATCTGGACCTGGGTCAGCCCTGTGTACCGGGGGGAGGGGGTTTCCACTGGTTCTTTGTGGTCTTGAATGTGGCGGCACTGACTTAGAGCAGGGGGGCATGAAGGAATCTAGAATCTCCTCGACTGCTTCTCAGGACACTGAGCTGCCAGGCTGTCGCTAGCAGTGTGATGTGACGGTCCTGTCTGGAAGATGGTGATCGTCAGCCAGAGGTTGCCCAAGGATCTGGCGCCGACCTCCCCGCTAGACCAGCCTCCCAGAGGGCTTCCAGAATTCATGAAAGCCAGATTGCTTGTATCTTCTGTGCTTTTTCTTTGTTCCATTTCTATCTCTCCCCATCTTGCTAGACTGAGATAAGAGAGCCATAAACGTTTCTTCTTGGCAGTCGCTAGCAGCCTCCTTCCAAATGCAAGCTTTTGAAATAAAACGCACGTTAGAGGGAGGACATAGGCGTTTTAAGCCTCCTTTCTAATTTTCTCTAGGAGCTAGTTTTTTTGTCATGTCCACCACCACCTCAGACTGGACTCCTAGTTCACCCAGTTTAATAGAAAATAAGCACATTCATGTGAAAGCAGCCTCTGCTTAGAGGAAGCTTCTTGCCTGCTCCGGGGTTTCTTAAGCTCGGCACTGTGGATGGGGGTGGTGTGGATGGGGGTGCTGTGGATGGGGGTGCTGTCCTATGCATTGTAGGTTGCTGGGTCTCATCCCTGGCCCCTGCTAGCTGTCAGCAGCACCTCCCAGTCACGATGATAAAATACACCCTTAGACATTGCCACATGTCCCCGGTAGGGGGTTGGGGGGGATCGCCCCCAGTTGGAAACCATTGCTCTGCTCTATTCCGAACCCCAGATTGTCATCGTTGCTTTTGAAAGGGCTGCCACCCTCCACAAAAGGCTCCCCTGGGGTCCAGACTCATTTCTTGTAATTAGAAATGCCAAGCCGAGCCCCTGCTGTCCTCTCAGGAAGTTCATTGAGCTTCCCATTTTGTGTCTAATAATGAAATTTATTGATCAGGGCAGGCCAGTGGCAGCTTACAAGCAGAGCTGACACCAGGCAGGTGGGAGAAAGGCTGGGGCTTGGGGGGAGGGGCCAGCGCCTCCCTGCAGAGCGTGTTGGCGGGAGAGCAGAGACAAGCTGGGCCCCGGGCCAGGCCGTGGTGGGACTGGGGTGTGAGGGGCGGGCAGACCCTGGGACCACTGAACTTGGACAGCGAGTTTCTCTGAGGTGCTCCCAGCTTCCCTTCTAGTCTCCCCCCCGCACCCTCATCTCAGAGCAGGGCTGACCTCAAATTGCCTGGGAGGGACATGTCCCCAGCTTCCCCCTAGGGACCCTGGAGACTTCTGAGCCACCAGGATCAGAAGGGAACTGTCACTTCATTTTTCTTTCTGTTCTCGGCGACGCCAGCAGCTTGAGACCAGTGACATCAAAAACGCGCCCTCAAACTGAACCAGAACTCAAGGCTGGCTGTCTCGGGCCGTGACCCTGAGGTTGTAGGGCCCAGATTCTTTTCCCGAGCTGGAATCGCATCTGGAATTGAGCACACAGGACAGGGTGGGGTTCAGGGCTCCCAGCGCCCGGTTCAGTGAGGGGCGGGGTCCAGGTCAGCCCCTGCAAAGGGGCCGCCACGCACCCGCATCTTGCCTTACCAGGCGCCCCTTCCCATCGGTGCCTGGTGACGGCACATTCATGGGGGCGCCCTTGGTTTTTGGAAATCAAGGACCTCGTCCCCTCGATTTCAGCTTCAGGCGTGGGCCGTTTCCTGCCATCTCCCTGCTTCTCAGGCCCCCCGCAGAGACCTTTGTCTAGGACCCCTGTGCACAGCTGAGGAGGTGGCGCGGGACTGGCTCCTGCCTCCAGGCCTCTGCTCTGCCTCGGCCACCTGTCCCGAGTGCCCCTTCTGGCCAGTCTTCCCCTCACACTCACCCTGGACCTTCAAAACGTCTGGAACCCCCCCATCCCTAGGCCCAAGCCTCCCGCCAGTGTCACCATGTGGCCAGAACAGGACTCTGGGGTGTTTCCCACTTTTGTGAGACAGTAAACCTCTCGGAGACCTGACAACTCTGGATGGGGTAGAAGTTTAGTCAAGAAAACAGACTCCTCTCCCTGCCCCAACCCCTGACCCCACCTCTGTTCCTCGCAGTGGGGGTGAACCTGTTCTACTTCTGCATCATCATCTACCTGTACGGGGACCTGGCCATCTACGCCGCTGCCGTGCCCCTCTCCCTCATGCAGGTGACCTGGTGAGTGCCCCCGCCCTGGCCCCACGCGGCGTCCTCAGGCAGAGCCCTCAGGGCAGAAGCTCAGGCCAGGCAGCGGGCAGCTGGTGGGGGAGGGCGCCAAGGCCCCCACCACACGCGTGTGCTGTGTCCCCAGGAGACGTGCTCCCAGGCTTCCTGTCCCTTCTGCCCCCTTGGGAGGGTGGCTGGACTCCCAGCAGGGCCCCTGCATCCCTGGGAACTGGCGGGATGGGAAGGTGTTTCGGGAAACATCTGATGGTTGGACCTGAAGCAGCTGTCTGGGAGCAGAGGGTTCAAGGTCGCTGGTAATGAGCAACATCGCCTCCTGGCTGTGTCGGCCACACGGGACCACCTGAGCTGCTGTTGTCTTTATCAGCAGTGCCACCGGCAACGACTCCTGTGGAGTGGAGGCCGGCACCAAGTACAACGACACGGACCGGTGCTGGGGACCCCTGCGCCGAGTGGACGCCTACCGCATCTACCTGGTGAGTGGGCCCGGGGCCACGTCTACCTCAGGAGTGGGCCTTGGCCTTGCCTCTCCGGCGCTGCGTCCGGCCTGGCCCGGTCACCTTGGTTCTTTCCCTAGCTCCGCACCCTGGCTGATCGCAGGGCATGGTCCCAGGCAAAGCAAGGGCCTCCAGACTCACCCCCACATGGCCTGGCAGCAGGCCTCAGTGCAGTGGCGTGCTGTCGGCCAGCCAGTGCTGCCAGCTCCAGGGCCACAAACGCCTGTAAACCTGTAAATTCAGTTCAGGGTTCAAGGGGCCGCTTGGCAGAGCTCTCTCAGCTCCCAGGCTGCCTTTCTGGAGACTTCCTGTGCGCTGCCTGCCCCCTGGCCAGCCCAGGAGCTGGTGGGTGGGGCGTTCTTCCTGCCCGGGAAGCACACGGCTCTCCGGAGCCACGCGGCAGCCCGGCCCTCTGCTGTTTACCTCCCTCCCGCAGACAAGGCAGGAAGATGGATCTCCAGGCTTGTCTTGATTGCCTAGTGCCGGGGCGGGGAGTGTCGAACCAAACAACGCACCGATGGGTCTCGGGTAACAAGACAGAAAGCCCAGGGCGGTTATTCATCTCTGCCTGCTTTGCGGGCAGGACTCAGAAATGTTTCCCTTTCCCCTGTGCAGCGTCTATTAATATTCTCTGCTTCCTCTTGGTCCTCCTCAGCCCTGACACAGATTTAGGTGTGCTAGGTGATACAGTTCGACACGTGGCCACTTAGCTGATCTGGAGGGGAGGCAGGGCGGGAGAGAGCCAGTCTTTGGGGAAATTGGCTTCTTGACTTCATTATCCCCAGGCTGGCGAAAGGTTTCCTGCCAGCTGTGTCATCTGGGTCGGTATTGGTGAGCCCCAAGGGCCCCCAAGCGGTTCTTTGCTTTCCCGATCCCGCCCTGCTGTCCTGCCAAAGGCAACCCAGACCCACGCAGGGGAGGGAACTATTTCTCGAGGACTCTGGTCTGTTTCCTGTTGTACGGTCAGCCACGGCTAGGATTTTGTCTTGGAGTGGAAGTGTATCTAAGAATCTGTTCCTTCCCCCCAAAACTGCCCTCCCCCTGGTGGCAATGGGGTAGCAAGTTAATTCCCTGGTATCCTGCCCCACTACCCCAGCCTTGGTGGTGGGCAGAGTAAACTTAGCTGGACAGCTGGGACGGCCTGCCAGGGGACCTCTTGGTATTGCAACACGCCGTGACGTAGAAAGTTAGCAAAAGTACTAGTAATGTGAGGACCCGTCTCGAGCGCCATATCCGAGCAGGAGGTGACGGTGGGGGAACGGGTCTGAGAGGCTCAGCACAGACACGGGAGCACATCCATGGCCAAGGGACAGCTGTGGAGTCCCTTAGGTGGGTCTTTTCTGGGGAGGCTTCTGGGGTCTGTGCATAATCCCCCTGGCACACACACACACCCCCCACCCCCAGCAAAATATATACAGAGCGCTGGGCATATTGGCTGCTGCCATTTGCGTAGTGAATTATTTAGAAGCATTATTATTGCCTTATTAAATTGTTCTCTCACTTATTCCTATAAACCCTCCACATGATGGAAGCCTCCCTCCCTCCAGCTCAATAACTCTCTGACCAAACAGAAGGAACCCTTCAGGAAAGCAGACGGGCATTAATTACTGCCTTCATCTCCCAGATATTACACTTATAACTCATAAAACTAATTGCCATTGGGCCTCCAAAAGCTACAGAAACGGAGGGAAGGATGAGCAGAACATGCCGGTTCTCCCTGGTTATTTGACACCCCACCCTGCCACCCCAACCCCCCGAACCCCCACCCTTCACACTGCCGGGGGCTTTGGTTTATCTGGAAGCTCCTCAGTTCAGATGCATCTCAGACTTGCTCAGAGGAATACAGGCAAATGGACTTCACCTCTCAGAGGTGTTTTACACCTTTGCCCGTGGCACCTGGGGGCTGTGACTACTGCACACCAGCCCCCCCAGAAACTCTGCGTGCTCCTCTGGCCTCCCTGTATCAGTGAGCTGGAGAACTTGCAAAGGTGTAGGCTTCTTCCTCCGTCCTGAGCTCTGCCACAGGCGATGCGGGCACCGTCGCCTCCAAGCCTGGCCTGTGGGGTTCCTGTCCATTCTGTCACATGGCCTCTTCGCATCCTGGGGCGGTGGGTCCTCGTTTCCCCCGCCCCCCATCATCCATGTTCAGGTGGTGGTCTGTCCCTTCTCAAGAGTTCCAGTGTTTCTCTTTCTACCAGCTGTTTCTGGTTTTTCTGCCCAAAAGATGTTGGACCAGGCAGAGGGCAGGAGCGGTTAAAGCACCCAGTCTCCCTGTCGCAGGTAAACCGGGCGCCCATCCGTCTGCATGTTTAATAGGCCTCGTAATACCCACTTCCTCATTGCTATTCTGGGACAGTATGTTCTAGGGGATAAAGGTACAGGCTTTTATTTTGTGGTTTAATTTTCAGAAAGTCTCTGGAAGCGAGCTCTGTCTTCCTGGGAATGCTATTGAGATGCACACGGAGAATGAGACTATTCGGGATATTAGCTCTCTCCAGAGGCTGGCCTGCGTGTGGCATCATGATTGCTTACGAGAAGGGAGCTCTCTCCACTAGCAGCTCCTAGTCGTCTCCCAGAGCACTTGACCTTAACCAGTGGAAAATTCCTCCCTTCTCCCCCCTTCCTGTCCCGCGACCTCCGTCCACATCTTGGGGCTGCTAGTGCGGCTGATGAGTCAGTGTTTCCCTGTCCTCCCTCGGAGTAGCCAGAGCCCGGTGCTTCAGGGCAGGGGCCCAGTGTCACTCACTCCCTGGCATCCCAGCAGTGACCTGGTCCTGCCAGGAGGATCCATGAGAATTAGCCCCGGGACCTGTTCTCGCAGGCCTTGGCTTCTCAGGACCTCCCCTACCCCCCACCCTCCTGCTCCTTGGAAGGGTCACATGGGAGCATGTTGGATGCCCCACCTCTTCCAAGCCAGTAACCTTGCCTCCGGCTGAGGATATCTTGACATCTTTCTGCTGAACTGCTCCCGCTCTGGGAGGCAACAGCCAGGATTCAGCACTTTGCTCTCTCCTGGCGCGGCAAGGAGCCAGGCCCAGTCTTGCACGTGCTGGGGTCTGCCGGACCCTCCTGTTTCTCTTCCTCACCCTGCAGCACTTCCCAGCTGTCACTGGGGCGCCTGGGCCCTGTCACCGTCTCTTCCTCCTTGAGAGTGTCAGAGGAAAGCCCGAGGGGACCATGCGACTCCGCAAGTTGCAGAAAGCTCCTCTCCACTCACAGGGCGGCAGCCACACCTGCAGGTGGACAGATGCCACTGGGGCACTGCCAGCCCGGCAGGCACCGGCCCAGCAGAGCCCGGCGTGGCGGAGTAGTGCTCCTCCGCAAACTGGTGGTACTGAGGCCTCCCAAGCTGCCTGGGACAGGACAGGGCCCCCCTAGTCTGCCACCCTGCCTTGACCACGGTGGCTGTGAGCACGACCTCCAGAGCATGGGTGGCCCGGGAGATGACAGTGCGCAGCGGGTGACCTGCCAACCTCTGCCAGGCAGAGGGGCTTTCCCCCGAACCCTCCTGGACACCCCCTTTGAGGGGGAGCTCCATCTGCTGGACTCCTCCTAGAGAGTTAGGTCGACCTGAGGCTCAGTTCAAGTTAACGATGGACAGATCCTCCTCAGCCTTCCCCGAGAGTCCGGTTCTCCCTTTCTCTGCCAAGAAGCCAAGTTTTCTGTCCACTGTGGCTCAGTCTTACATAAAACTCTCCTCCATCCATCCGCAGCACTTATAGCCAAGAGTTTCTTCCTAAAACAGCTCACAAGGTGGAGTGGGAAGCAGTGCACCCCCTGCCCCCCACAGAGCCACAGGCCCCTCCTGTAGTGACACCTGGCGTGCGTGCTACCTGCCACCAGTTATGTCCACGTTCTGGCTTAGTCCTCCCGGCCACGCCGCAGTGTACATGGCCTCGTCGCATTTTACAGCAGAGAAAACTAAAACTTGGAGACCAACTTCCCCAGGCTCCCAGAGTAGAGGCAAGAGAGGGGACCCCCAGCTCTTCGGGCCGGCAGCCCTGTTCTCGTGCCCTGTACCACGACGTACTGGGGTGGCAGGAGCCGGTTCCTGTTGGTCAGCCCACAGAGCTCAGCTTTTGCTGAGTCGGGGCGATGGTGTCTGTTCCGTGATCCGCGTCTGCCCCCCGCCCGTCTGCCTGATTGATTTGCTGTCTGTCTTGCTGCTCCGAGACAGCAAAGCCGACTTCTCCTGTTCACTCAAGTAGCCTTGGGAGTGAGCGCGTCTTCCCAAGGACACATCCCTTCCCTTCCCCTGCCGCTGTCTCTCTGTTCTTTCAGCATCAGCCACCGTGCCTTGGGGCTGTGGCATCTGCTAATAAGTGGGTCACTGCTGCCATCACTTGAATATTTATTCTTACCAATTCTGGGGCAGGAGGTGGCCTGCAGGCCTCGAGGCCCAGCGAGGAGGGAAAGTGAGTGTGAGCAACAAGTTACATCAGCAGCAGCGAGTCACAGGACCCGGGGACGCTTGGGGACACTGCCTCAGCCCCGGGCACCACCACGTGCCCCCAGAGCGCAAGGCCAGTAGGACGCGGTGTGCGAGTCACCCGGCTCTCGCAACGCCGGGAACCCGGGGTGGAAGGAAGGGGGGTGCCCCCGCCAGGGCTGGCCGGGAGCCCACAGGCCCCGTGGTGGTCGTCATGGAGCCATCCACCCGGCGGGCTCCACCCGGAAACAGAGCAGGGCCCTGAGCTAGGGAGACAGCTCTCCCCCAGAAAGGTGACACCCGCCCTCCTGTCTGACTCCCAGGGCGGGAGGCTGCTGCTCACAGGGACCCAGGTAGCAGAGTACCCCTTCATAGGATGATGCTGGGGGCCCACCAGGCTCCTTCCTCTTTCTTTTCCTTTTCTCTTGCTCCCCCAATGTGCTTCTTGTCAGCTCCTCATTCGGCTCCGGAGGCCCCAGGAAGGTCACGTTTGTGTCACGCCTCACCCTTCCCTGCCCTCCCAGCCCGTGGGAAGGTGCCAGTCACGCAG